CTCCTTCTGAATTTGTACGACAGTTTTGGCCTGAATTAGAGCCCCCTTGATAAACTTCTCTTGTAGAACTATTTGACAACTCGGAGTTGCGTTTTGCAGACAAATAGCATGCTTCTCAAGAGAACGAGCTGTTAAAGGTGTAGTAGGAGGCCAAATTTGAGCTTCAGAGGGTGTAGAAGATCGATCTTGAGGAGGAGGAGGAGGAGGAGGAGCAATTTGGTAATCTTAGATCTTGTTGAGTACTATATTCGGATTATAGGGAACAAGTCCGCATTCTCAAAATCCATCAAGGATGAAGTTCCTTTTGAATGTCATTTGGCGAATACTTTGAATAGCAGCAAGGAATTCAAGTTTATCGAATTTGCTACATCCTTTTCGAGTTGCTTGATCTACAACTTGAGCATGCCAGTGCTTGTAAGGCTGAAATAGAACAACGTTAAGCGGTTAAAGGATATAAGAAGTATGAGGAGGAAGAGCAAAGACGTGGATTAAGTTGAATTCGCAGAATTCAAGGATCTCATGCGTAAAATGGCTCTTGTATCCGTTACAAAGGAGGATGTGGTAAGCTCTTATACACATTCGCCAACTTTAGCATTCAAAATGTCAGATATATTTGTACGTAAGCTTATTGTTTAAATATCTAGTATCTAATAAGCTAACTAAAGTCTCTCTTTAAAGCTTATAATAAAAGCGCTTTAAATAAACCTTTCTTAGCAAAATTAGTATTATATTAATAATTGCTCTACTAATACTAATAACTCTAATAATAGTTATATAGTTATAAATATTATCAAAAGATATATAATGTCTCTTCTTATATAAAGTAGTAATTATTTATTAATTTTTTCTAACCCTTATTTAGAAGCTTATTTTGTTAAAATTTTAAATATTCTTCTTCTATACTAAATACTTCTCTTAAAGCGCTTAAAATCGCTTAAACTAGTTCAAAATTATATCAGAATTATGAGCAAGCTTTTGTTTAAGCTCTAAGGGCTTCTATTTTACTTTATAAAGCTTAGAATATCGATCTAGAAAGCGTCGAGCCTAGTGTTGGCCTATAAAAGGCGCAGGAGTAGTAATAGTATAATCTTTAGTAGAATAGCATTTGCTATATTACTGATTTGATTATATTGTATAGAATGCCCAATTTCATCTAAACAAAGGATATATCGCAAAAGAAAGGCCTCTTGTACAGCTGACAGCTTGCTATTAACTGGCTTTCAAGTTATACAAGGCCCTACGCCCTTAAGTCGCCGATGAATACGATCTTTATGAATCCCAAGTTTACGCGCTTTTGCTGCAACGTTCGAACGCTCTCCATCCTCTCGTTCAGCAAGTATCTCTCGTACTGCCTTATCCACCAAATCGTCGATATCTTCATTCGAAATAGGCATGTTGTGGGGGTGCTATCTTCAAGAATCTACAAGGGATATAGCTCTGCTTCAAAAAACGCGTTACGGTGATAATCGCGTTACGGTGGCAGCCACGCGCTGCGCGCGCTGGCTCTCGCAGGGGGGTACCCCCTGCAGAGTGGGTCCCTAGGGATCCACCCATTGGGCCACGGCTACTGTACAGCGAAATTAGAAGCGAAATTGCATTGGAAATTGACTAATTAGAAGCAGTAGAAACGCAGGGATTACGCATATGAAACGCGGCCAATTAGCCCTTTCAGAAGTTAGTAGTAACGTTTTCAGGTTAGAAACACACATATAGCGCTGGCGGGGGTTGTGCCAAGCAATTTTGTTGCACGAGACCGGACTTGACGTTAGCGCGGCTGAGAACTGAGACAAAAACCGCAGAACAAATTTCACAGCTCTCTCTCTATCAAGATCTTGAATACACATCAACATATAGCAGATATGAGTTCACAGTCAGTCGCGCACTCTAGTGTTCAGTCCAATGAGGAAAGTTCTTCGAAACAGGCTATTACCAACTCTTTATGCGATGCAGCCGCAGATGAAAGATTAGAGGATGTGAGACTACTTCTGGACCGTGGCGCAGATATCAATGCTCGGTCAAAATATCGGGTCAACGCTCTAGAGGCAGCAATAATAAGAAATAACGAGCAGATTGTGAAGCTACTTCTGGACCGTGGTGCCGATGTCAATGCTCAGGGTGGAGATTATGGCAATTCTCTGCAGGCAGCAGCATATAAAGGATCAGAACAGATCGTGAAGCTACTTCTGGACTATGGTGCTGATGTCAATGTTCAGGGTGGACAGTATGGCAGTGCTCTGCACGCAGCATTATATCAGAGATCAGAGCAGATTGTGAAGCTACTCTTAGACCACGGTACAGACGTCTCCATCCAACCACTACTTGTGGATCGGCTCTCTATACTTCATTTGGGCATTATGTCAAACAAACTTTCCTTATTGGAGATGTTGTGTTGTGCAGGCGCAGATATTCACTTGATTTCACAAGACGAATCTGGCCAAACACCTCTCCATTTAGCCGTCAGAAACAAAGACTTTGAAATGGTCAAATATATTCTTGAGAGAGGCGCTTCACCTGACACCCCGGATTTAAGCGACACTACGCCATTCCAGTTGGCCATGTGCACTCGAAATCGTGAGATAGTGCTTTTACTCTATCCGAAAGTCAAACATGGCCTGTCATCAATAAGCGCTTCTGATTGGCGAAAGTGTTCCAGTCTAGAGCACGTTTCTGATATTGAGATCGTTGGTGGTAAGACGGCCAATATTAATCTTGGAAATACTTTGTTGGAACGGAAAATTAGTAATTTGGCATATCCTCTTCCAGTGAAGACGATGGAGATAACGATTGAAATGAACGACTTCCTCAAAGACGAAGTCAATATAAAGCGAATATTGTAAGTAACTTACGATGATCAGACTGTGTCAACCTCTGTCTCCCCCAATCTAACGTTCAGAAGTGCTCTTGGGGATGGTTCTGTCTTGCGTTCACAGACACCGTTTAGCTCTTACTGCCGTTGGTGGTACAGGACGAAACTTATCGGCTTCTATCATCATTGGAAAATTCGATTGAACTCAGCACCAAGCCCCACCACCATCCGACAGAGTTCAGGGAAAGACTGTAAGAGATGCACCCTGATGCCTTTTATGCACCGTCTGCAATCAGATTGCTCACTAACCACATATTAAAGGCTTTCTACAATCTGGTTTGAGTCTTGCTTGTCATGTCTTACCGAAACACATGGAGGATTGGACTGAGAGTTTCCAGCTTTCGCAGAGACTCTTGAGGTCCCTTGAGGTAGATCAAGGAATCATGTGGATCATGCGACGTTCTTCGTCAAAGAGTATCGGCTCACATGTGAATGTACCACTGTTGCAATCTCAAATATACTTTAGCACCTCGGAATACGCACAACTACCAACATATGCAACGGACCTGTTCGTTCCACTAGTGCAGAAACTACAAGACATCTGGAATGATAATATGGCTGGAATGCAAAGACGACTCCTGACTCTGGTACGAAAGCTTGTCGTAAGTTCAACGGATACTAACTTTCTGTAGCGGTCCAAAGTCGTGAAGTTAAGTGGAAATAATCCTGATCTGATTGGATATCTTCTTAACGAAGTTCAACTGCTGGAAGCTCTTCACAACAACCTCAAAAAGCAGCTCGAAACCCTGCAAACATTCCACAGACAATACTTAAGCGATTCATGGAAAGTGCTCTACGAGCAGCCTTCTGATCAAGTAAGAGAGGTGATGGATAAGTTTCGGGATGAAATAGAGATTTTGGAAAAGAATGGGGAGAACAAAGTGAAAAGTCTTACAGATCTGTCCCAAAACGTCATACAGCTGGTATCGAATTATGGTCTCTCCTGAGTGATCTATACTCTAATCTCGAATATAGGAATTCAACTTGACCTCCATATCAGAGGCGCAGAAATCTACGTCCACCAACAGGAGCTTGAAACGCCTCACTTGGATAACGGTATAGTCTTCTTACCCTCAGGCTGTTCTATGTCCGGGCTGACGTCAACAGTTCATTTTCCTCCCTCTGTTGTTCATTTCGGTAAGTGAATATATGCATCGGACAAGAGAATTTCTGATTAAACCTTAATAGAGTTTGTTCGGGATGAATGTGGATATAGTGGCAAACAACCCTGCGTGGTGGTGGTATCCAGTTCTAGCTGGTGGTGTCACCGCCTTCACCTTCTCTGTCTGGATCATCTTCAAACGGAGCAACACTGTGGGTATATACAACCACTTTATCTCCGAAAATGTACTGACCGAGCTCCTTAACAGCTAGAGGGCAGCCTGGAAACCAGATTCAATTGGCTCTTTCGAAAGAAAAGGAAAGAACCAGATCCTGAAGAGGCAGAGATATCAGAAGCTGAGACGTTGGAATCCGAGACATGGGAATCCGAGGCATCGGAATCTTGGACTAGGAAAGCAAAAACCATAATCAGTTCTGCGTTCAAAAGAAAACGGTCATAAGTATCAATAGCTGGGCTATGATATACAGGCTCGCAAAGTGCAGAAAGCATCGCCCTAGCTAGCAATTGAGAGCATTTCATCTCAACAATCCAGTTCCTTACGACATCGAATACTTCAATTCTATATACACTGTGGCTGTTGACCGACTTCCGCTTTTGCTGTACTATGCCGCGTTGAGACCCCGAGACAGGGGTTTGTATTCGCAATCTAGCCAACAAAAACTGAGCCAGGGAGTCTATACCTATAGCTGATACCCGTGATACCGTTGCGATGGTTGCGCCGATCAAGAAGGCTGGTCGAGAGAAGACAAAAGGTAAGGTCGCTTCTCCAAAGGTCCTTATGTCCCGAACGCAGCCCGATTGAGGAAGAGATGGTGTCGAACAGGCTAATACAGAATGAGGGGACCTACATAGCACGTTGTATTATCTATCAAAGGACAGCGCGTGTAGATATACGCACAAATTCGCCTTACGGTACGGCGAAATTAGCTGCGAAACTGCAGTAGAAATCGGACCGAAAGACCAATCAAAAGCAGGCAGAACGTAGGGATTACGCGTAGAGAAACCGGCCAAGAGGCGCTCATACAGTCTGACAATTCTCTGCTTAAGCGCCGTCTCTCGTGTCCTCTGATAATTGGAATAGACAATCTCTGACCGGTTATACTTGTCAGGTTGTGCGTCCTGATATTTTCCCTAATTCGCTAGAAAATGTGGTCATAGCACAAGGTCTCAATGCTTCTTTTTTAGTCATTGTCCTCGCTATCACGGTTGTCATCCTCTCGACTTCATCATTTGCTTAACTCTTACAAGTCTAATACTCTCCTTAGTATTTCTTTCTTGTCCTAGTCCGGTTGCTGGCCCCCCGTACTCCATAATCTCCGGCCCATTATGTCACAACCCACTGCCATATCCGCACAACATAAAACCCCTTCAAGCATATCTACCCATCTTACAAAATCTCCAGCTCTTCAAACCCCTTCACCCTGTCACTCTCCCAACCACCATCTCCTATGGCATTATACTGAAAAGCCTGTACCCCAAAATTCGCACGCACAGCCGCCCCCTTCGACTGCAGCCCCACCGCAGGATATACTCTCCTCCGCGAGATCAGTAAGTTCGGTTCTGTTGAAAACCAAAAAGTCAGCCAAAGTTCTCCCAACCCGATATCTTCCTCCTTGCATGCACTAAGAAAAGCAACGTACCAAGCCTCATCCCGTTTAGCGTAAAGAACACTACACTCTCCCCGTTCTCTCTTTCTCGCCAACCAACACCACAGCCCACCGTGTCTCCCGTTCCAAACTTCGGCCATCCAAGCGTCCGCTCTTGGTCTTCAGCATAACAGTGTCCGTCATCGCCATGATATCCCCAGCTCGCGCCGTGGGGCCATGCCAGTCCTTCTTTGGGTTTGTGCTCGAAGCAGCCGCCGTCATCGCCGCGGAAGCCCCAGCTCGGTGCTGCATGGCCGGGAAGCTTGAAAGTAGGAACGTCTTTCTCGCTGAGGCCGATGGCGATGACTCTGTAGGGACGGTATCAGTGTGTTTTCAAGCGAATGTATGCCAAGAGATGCCCTGATATTGGGGTTATGATCACGTACTGATTACTTCCTTGATCCTCAATCTTCACCTCGAAGTAGAAATCCCCATATGGAGAGATTGGGTGGTTTGCGAGAATAGTAGCCCCGACTGAGAAGTGCGAGCCACTCACTGGGACAGGTTAGATTCCTGCTTGCCACCCGAAGAAGGATCCCGTTTATCTTACCCAAGAGATTCAACGGCTCGTTCAAAAACCGCATACCACATCCACTGTTGTCGATATGTAAGTTGGGTGATCGTTCTGTCAGGCTCCACGCGCCAGGAGATTTGCACTCTTTCTCGAGTCGTTCTTGAATTCGCGCGTCCGGCAGCGTCCAATTATGCAGCGTGCACCATGTGTTCGCACCCCAGCCATGTTCGTCGAGGATGTTGTGATTCGCGCCATTATCCAACAAGGCTTGAACGATCTCCTCGAACCTCAATGCAGTCGCTGCGGCGAGAGCTGTTCCGTAGTGTCCTGCCGCAGCAGTGTTGGGATCGGCGCCGCTCTCAAGGAGAGTACAGACGGCTTCGAGATGCCCCTGAGACACAGCAGCCTGCAAGCCGTTCCGAAGAATCCGCCCTTGTCGTTCACCCTGGCTCCCCTTGCGATCAGCAATCTCAACACATCGGCGTGGCCGCGGAAGGCCGCAGCTTGCAATGGATTGCCCAGGTGTCCATTATGGTGTGTGGGCTCGTTCTCGAAGAGCATAAAGATTTTGTTATGATCAACCTGACGGAGCCGCATTGCAGCATTCAGTGACGGTGCAAAGAAGGCTTTAGTAACGAATGAGTGGTCATACGCCAGGAAGCCTTCGCCTTGTTGTAGTTTCAGGCACTTGCCATACTCTGGCTGACCAGGAATGGTTTGAGCGAAGTCGTTCCCCAGCCAGCGGCCGGGACAATTGGGATCCGCGCCATGGTCAAGAAGCAGACGGATTGTTTGTTCGTCGCCATGCATGGCGGCAGCGTGAATGGCGTTCCCAAACTGTCCCATGGAGGCGCCGTCCAGTTGTGCTTTTCGATTGAGAAGGAGTTTAACTTTTTCGAGGTGGCCAAAGTGGCTTGCGATTTCCAAAAGGCTGCCGTACGGCCCGACACGTTCAGAGGGAGAGCCACCCCAATCGAAAATTGCTGTCAGTAAGTTGTTCATTGATCGCTCCGCTTGGAGGCAGATGATCCGAGAAGCGCTCCCATAGTAACCTCCCGTCACATTTGGATTGAAGTCCTTGTGATTAATCAAGAACATCGCCATCTCTTGCTTGCCTCCTTCCAGCACTGCCTGGAGAGCAGTACCAAGCCAGCCGTCATTGCAATTGATATCCGCTCCCCCATCGACCAGAAGCTGTACAAGGTCTGTATCACCGCTCATGGCAGCCCCTTGCAGGCTACTACCGATGGTCCCACCAGGTCTGTAATAGAAATTATCCTCGTTGGGCTTAGCGCCAAGACCCAGTAGTTTTTGAACCGCCTCCTTCTGGCCGCAGAAAGTAGCTGATTGGAGTGGGCTACCAAGTGGTACCATCTGCGCTTTGACGTCTGCTCCAGCTTTACACAGCATCTCGATGATTTCGGGGAAGCCTCCAACAGCTGCAGCACGTAGAGCGTGATTGAGGTCAGTGGTAGTAGCTCGGTCTTCGTTCAGCTGCAAAAGTTTCTCGACTCCTGACCTCCATCCAAACAGCGAGGCGTAGTACAAAGGCGTTATGTTGACCGGGTGGTCCTTTCTTGTAGGATCGCTCAAAATGCGGAAAAGCTGCAAGAACGATTTGCAATTGGGACGACCTTGAATCGACCTCATCAACTGTCCTCCCAGACGGGTCGCAACGTCTTTCGCAACAGCTTCTGAAAGCTCCTCTTCGATCGAGATGCAAGCATTCCGTGGCCAATGTGTAAAATCATTTTCCTCAGATGGCAGAAAGGCAGTGAATGTAACCTTGAAGGGGTCGTTTGGTCTATTATATTGACTCCTTAGGTCCTGCCAAGTCACCTCTGGAATGAGGAGGCCCTTTAGAAGTTCGCTCAACTTGTCGTCTGTACGATCAAGTGATCTAAGGTGCATGCCACCATGAAGCGTCGAGTAGTCAAGAAGCTTGTGGTCTTGTCGCAATTTGTCAAGCTCTTGTCGATTGTGGTACGGGTGTGCTAGTTCTCGTGAAGATAAGTAGGTGAGAGAGACCATGGCGAGATAAGCATTAGCGTCAGAAAGCACGATATTGTACTTCCGAACAGCAGCCTCTGCACTGTTTTGGAGATATCCAGAGAGCAAGAATTCCTTCAGTGAGAAATGGGCCAAAGAGAGCTCTTGCTTGTCAGGAGTCTGATCGGAGCTCATGCGGACAAGTGGTCCACAGAGCTTGAAGAGCCACTGAGGATCGTGCAGCTTGTTGCCCAATTCTATGTTCGCTTCATACTTTTGCACTGCTATTGCAGCTCTGATCTCATCCAGTGTCAATGGTCGAGCAGCTGCTACAAGCCATTGTAATATCTTCTTGACGGTCTCGCGGTCTCTTGGAAGGTTCTGGGCAGCGTCAATGTCCAATAACAATCGTTCCCACGTCTGATTTATGTTAGGTGGTAACTCCTCAAGGATGGTCAACACATCTTCACTGCTATCAGAACCAAGTAATATTTGGAGTTGTAGTGTAGCAAAGAGAAACCTAAGCACGACATCTTGATGAGCAGAGTATCATGGGGCCGGATATCTGGTAGACTTACATTCCATTCACCTTTTCAACAAGTTTGGATACAATGCAGGATTTGATAGTAGGACTTTGTTGCTCACCCGCCATCAATTTCTCTCCCCATTCTGTGTTGTTCTCCATCTCTTTCTCCAGCTTTGCACGGACGTAGAGTTCAATGTCCTCAGAGTTTGACTCGCTAGATATTGAAATCCTCGACACTTCTCTCAGAGCTGACTGGATTTCCATGGTAGGACGGCTTGTGATAAGAACCTTGATTTTACCTTTTCCATCCTTCTGCAAGTGTATGAGGGTCTCCAGCAGGGCTTTGCGATGGCTCCAATCGCCATGACTGCTCTCTTTGGGCTTGCTAGGAGGAAGGAACTCATCCGCAGCATCTATCACCAAGTAAATATGTTTGAACTTCTCGCATGTCTTGATCGTGATCTTTGCGAGCTCCTTATAGTCCACAGACCGAGCTTCGAGGTACGACTTCTGAAACGATGCGAGATACTCCCACACTGCATGGCGGACAGCCAAGTTTTGCTGTGCCAATTGGGCTGTCATGCATCCAAAAAGTTCTGACAGACTCTGTCTCATGCTGTCCTTGTAATCGCAGTAGAAATAAGCAAGACCTGTGTTTGCTTTTGGTTGCATTGCGAGTCTCCTGAGCTCGTCAATCACCGCGGAACTGTGCAAATAGGTTAGTTCCAGCAGAATAGGCCCCCATGCAAAGGATTCAGCTCACGCGAGGACCGTCTTGCCATTGCCAGCTATCAAGTCGAGTTAAAATTCATTTTGGGCAGCGTTCAAGCGGACTCACGAGTGGCATCTATCCACAACAGGTTTGTCGCTGTTCCCGACACCCAGTCTTTGTATTCAGGTCGTTGAAAGATCCACTGGCAAGTTCCTTCTTGTTTGGAATTTCGAGCTTCGATATGGGCTTTCGTCTCGTCGATTGTTGTCAAACTGCCAGTTTGACCTTTCCAGCCATCTTCCTGCAGAACTGACACCTCTTTCGTACATTCCAACAGATTCTGGAGGTGTTTATTCAGCTGTTCGATAATTTCGTCCAGCAGCTGCTTGTCTTTAACAGCCCAGGTTGTCCGTTTCTTACAGTCATCATTGCTTTTGAAAATGCGAGATTTCCACGGCTTCATCTTCCCTTCTTCCCTAGTGTGTCTCCTCAGTTGCTTCTCGGCGGCTCCCAAATGCTGAGTGGTGCGCTCCAGTATCTTCAAGATCGTTGCCTGATTTTCATGTGACTCGTAGTTGAACAAGCAATCCTTATCAGGGCAACTGCTATCAACATTGAAATCGGTGCCCCATATCTCTAGCTTTTTCCTTATGCGCTCAAAGTGAATTGCACGATCCTGTAATCCGCCATCCCGACGAAAGAGTTGCTCAATCAGAAGGTACCCGTCGATGGCCCCTTTAAAAGCGGCAAGCAGTCCAACAACACCGACGACAGTTCCGGCAACTTCCATGGCCAATACTTAGTAGAAAACATTGAGAATGGGAGACAGCGATAGGAATGTTAGTCAGTACTTATCTATCATATCATTTGCAGCCTTGTTCTATCGGGCACAGCCGCATTGGAGCCTGGTACGTTGTTCCGAGGAGGCGTGGCTGAGGCTACTACGTACGTAGTATTTCCCAGCTCCTCAAAAGACCAAAAGAACGCACAGCTACTTTAGGGGGCAAGCACAGCCGGTTTTTCTAGGCGCTCGGGCCGAGGCCATTGACAGAATTGGTGTCACTCTTGGCACATAATCTCTGTGCAGAAAAGTGACACCAATTCTGTCAATGGCCTCGGCCTGAGCGGCTACTCCGTACAGGGGGAAGCATAAATGTTAGTTTGGCTGGCGCTAGTAAGTTTGTATCGTAACTACTTCTTTACAAGCAATGTGAGAATGCACATGCAATTGTATATGGTTCTGAATAACTCAAATCTCATTATAAAGTATCCCTAAGCATTCTATTACTCTGTCTAATACTTGCACAAGCAAGCTTTTCAAGTTCCGCATCTTCATACGATAAGATCGCTGTACGCAAATGCCGAAGGTGTACATCGGGGAATAAAAATTGTGGCGCTGTATAGTAACAAATTGATACTAGTGCCAGCCTCACAATATTTACTATGTAAGCTCCCCTCCTTAGAACGTAGTTGGGAATCACTTTCAATAACCGGATTGTAACCTGCTAGCCGGGGTTCTTTAATGCACACTATCAATTACAGCCCATGCATTGATGCTTGCATTCAGTTCGGTGATATTGTTGCCACCCTATGAAATGTTTCTAGGATTGATATTTACTACTACGTAGTAGCCTTCTAGTGATCCTGCTTGATTGCAACGGTTTATTACTTCCTCGCTGCAGGACCTGGGAAGGAACAGACCACAGCTGTCAGAATCCCTGCGCATACGATACGTATCTGTTACGTATTAGCAGGATGATACAGGGGTCCCCGCATGCGAAACGCACGAAACGCTCTTGTAACTTTTACGCCCTGTTATTTATGGCAGTGAGCATTGCTATACGAATTGAACGCCAAATGCTGTTTCTGAGCTGTTGCAGTAACGCGCTTCTATAGCTATTAGTGTGAGCAAATGCTCCTCTTGATAGGAGTAACTCAATCAATTCAATTGGTATCTCCGTACGCTATTTGCTACATCCTCTAACAACAGCAACTTAAGAATTCCCTTTAATCCGGATGTTCTCAGAAACGGAAAATTCAACAATGGTAGAAATCGAGAACAGATTTCTATCCAGCTTCGTGTAAGAAGGCGCGGCATCCTTCGTATGCACGAGATCTAAAACTTTGGAGGAATCGGAAATTCGCCGCTTGACTTGTCCTGTATGTTCAACCGACAATCGTCTCTGATGGCACTCCATAAATGGTCGGGAAGCTTTCCTCTCTAGTACCCTTTTCAATACTGCCTCTGCTGACAAGGTTGCTTGCTGAATGTCTTGAAATGTTTGATCCAAACCCTCCTTTACGTCGTCATCGTAATGCGAGCTTCATAGGCCATGCTGACCGTTTTGAAATAGAAGCCTAAGCTGAGACCTCACCGTTTCGATCTCGAAAACTTCGAATCCGCGATCAGGGTTTCTGGGTGTCTGAAATGGACCGCGGCGAAATTAGTGACTCGTTTCTGTGATGAGGTTGAAGTGGCTGGCAGAGCGAGAAGCAGCCTTGCGACCTCGAAGCCAAATGGCATGAGGCTCTGTTTCCCGCCTCTGATGGCCCTACAATCCCCCGAAGAAGAGCAGGAGATGATACTCCGAACTTGACATTAGCTTAATGGCCTGACCGTGGCCTAAGGCATAATACCACCGTGCCCAGTTCCACTAGCAAGACGAGAGAAGTGCAGGTCTGGTCCTCACAATGCTTCCTAATACATACAAGAAAATGTTGACTAAAAACCCATGGCTTTGATGATTTTCAATTTATTACCAGCTGCGCTTACTTGAGTTCATCGACATCCCTCTCCCGCACCAAGTACACAGAGATCCCCTTTCCGCTACCGCTCACATGAATCATGATCAAGCTCCTACATGCTGCCAAAAATGCTGACTCTTCTCCTCCACGACCACAGCCGAACCGGCCTCGCCAATGCTCTCCTCCTTCCAGAGCCCTTGTATCTTCTCGTACACCAACTGATATCAGCCACGACGCCAAGGGCCGAATGATGACGAACGACCTCTTCTGGATCGATCAACAAATAGTTACCAGCAGGAACAAAATTCCCGCTTCTAAAGTAGCTCGGTGATCCTCCTACATCACTGCCCCGGCTCGCCGCGTAAAGAACCCGCCATTTTGGTGCGTCGTTTCTTTTTCTCCACCATTGACGCCACCATTCCAAGGCGGCACAGGCGGCAGATGCAGCGCCGTGGCGGCGGGCGGCTGATAAACCAGCGCCAGGATGAGGGTGGTACTGCTGATTGGCGGAAGTAAAGCGAGTCCGGGCGGACGCCATCATTTCTTTGGGGGGAAGTGGGAGGCTAAGGTGGGGGAGGGCCCTCCGAAGGTTATTGATGTGACGGGAACGGAGGAGATACCTAGCGCTTTCAATGGGTCCAGGGTCTGCCATCTCAATATCGCATTCAGCTCTTCGTTGCCCTTACAATGACTAATTAGAGGCCTCCCCGCCTCTGCAACATCATTCGGCTTCACCAGCACTTTATCCACCCCGCTTCCCTCAACTTCGCCTCGGACGGGTGTCTCCAGCTTTAAAGCCACCAGAACTGCTACAATCTGCTCTTTCTGAAACTCATTACTCTCGACCTTCCACACATCAGCATTCCACGGCGCCTTACTAGCCGTAACATCCGGATCTAGCATCATCAACACCTGGAGCCTTCCAGACCCTCAGAAGAAGCCTACCATTCAACAGCTCCTCTCCCAAATCGCCACTCAGCTTCCCCTTCTCCTTCTCGTTACTCCACATCTTCAACGTCTTCCTCTCCACCTCATCCATCCTAGCCTGCGTCTCCCTCTGCCTCCTCCTGATCTCCTGCATCCCCTCGCTTGTTTCCTTAAGCAACTGATTGTGTTCCTGTAGAGTAAACACGCCCTCCTCCCGCTCATACCCGGATCTCTCATTCTTTATCAACCGCTCATATTCGTTCCCGGAACCTCATGAAAGATAATCTGATCGAAATCCTCAAAAAGTCTAGGCTTCTCGAACGGATACCACCCATTTGACCACAGAATATCCACACCGGGCATAGACATCTCACTCGGCATATACCCACCTGGAGATTCGACACTGTACATCCCGATGCAGCTGCCGCCCCAACTCACATGCCCTTCAGGCGTGAAGACGCGACTTGGGTTCATCTTCGGACAGTTCATGCTCTGGCGCAGGTCGATAGGCTAGCAAAGCGGCAGCGCGGTGAAGAACCCCATTACCACCATCATGAGGCTGGCATTGACGAAGACGTCTCGGATTGCTGCTGCGTGAAGGCATTGTTCTTAGCGATCAAGTCCATCGTGTCCGACAGATACGATACGTAAGGACGTCGGGTTTCGATGTATCGCTATATGCTAGCTTTTTGCTTCTCGCTTGAGAAGATCAACGGAAGCAAAATTTGTGGCTAGGCATCTTGGCGGTGCTGAGTTCCCCTGGTTCGGCTTTGAGTAGGGGAAAATGGTTGAGGAGCTTTTGGCGGGGGATTTTAAAGTCATCGTAGTGAGAAATAGGGAATTACCGCATGTCATCCCCGTGTATAGGCTAGGGGTAAAGGTGATGTCCCCAGAGGCTTCGTGGAGCTTTTGATAGAGCGCTACGGCGCGGTAGTGGTAGCTGAGGTCGAATGCACCATGGCCGTAGTCAACGAGGAAGAAGTCGTCTCCGCCTTGGCGGTAGGATACTAGTGGCTGGTTTCCCTTTTCCTGGATTTGATGGACAATGGCTGAGCCCCAAGTTCCGGTTCCAACGGAGGGTGGCAGACCTGAGTACCTCAGTGAAAAAGCGTCTTCGAACGTCGCTCTCCCCCTACACCAATTATCGACGAAAGGGGGGAGTTCTTGCACTCTGCGATGCTTGGCATTGGCGGCAGTGAGAGACACCCGGGGAAATCTAATGGTGTTCCCAGCTTTCATCTGCCCCAACCTCGTACTCCGTGTTGTAGAGTATGTTAATATCTTCGGAAAGTAGATGGCCTTCATCGTAGGGACCAGGCATGGCAAATAGATCCTAGCGAATCGGGCATTTGAGGAATAAGACGATCAGGAAGCTTAAGATCTTCTTCGATTCTAGGTAAGTCAGCCACCGGAATCAGATGGTCGCCGGACGCGAGTTCTTGTTCTTGATATCCTCCGACGCTTGTAGTTGATGCTGTTGCTTTGGATCCGAACCCATTCTGCTATACTCAGCACGATACGAGCGGCAGCCACCCCAAATAGTCTTGACAATCGTCAATCGTTGCCCGGCTTTGACATGAGCCCTTCTCCACAAGGGAAATGGTTTCCCGCCGAGCTTGGCTTCCATTTCTGCACCATAAAGTGAACGATAGCAGCACCCAGAAAGTGAAAGGTCTAGGTCACTCAGAGTGATCTAGAATCCTTCCATACCGACTGAGCTCCCTACTAGTGAATTAGCAATTCGAAAAGCTAGGGGATCCACCGGTCCACTATGACCGAAAGCTCTGCCAATAGTCGGTCTGCCAGGCCAGTCTTTGATCCGAGTAAAACCACCTCCAGCGAGAACATTGATTGCCGCTGTTGCATGCTTGAATTTGGAGATGAACTTGGTCAATGTCTTCCCAGGTTTGAATAGAGATGCAAAAGAACTTTGGGTAGAAAACCAAGGTTTATTGGAAGGCCACAAATTTTGGAGTCTCTCAAGATTTCGTGTAATCTGTTGATTGTCTCCTCCGGGTTCGAAGCATGGTACATGACATTGGCAATCAGTGGATCGTAGTAGGAAGAGGTCTTCGTGCCAGTATGAGCCCATGTATCGATCCTTGCACCAGCTACCTCGCTCCATTTTACGTGCTGGAGCCTGCCGGGAGACGGAGCATAACTGCGAGCAGGATTTTCAGCAAACACTCGACACCCGATGGCTAAGCCTTGACTGTCAGATAAGACACCTGTAATCCTTCTTGCGCGGACAATTGAGCATCGGCTTGTTTCAGCATCAGTTTCACCGAGTCAATACTGTAGCAAAGCTTTGCGCCGCCATGCTCGACTTGAGGCAATTGTTCAGTGCAGTTTCTTCGTCCACGATGTACTCGATGGTGCCAGCAGAGCCGTACTCGATAATATCTGTGAGCCGAACAGCTGCAGACCTTAGCTTGGCTCTCAAACCTGAATGTTTCTCCACAGATGGAATTGGCCATTCCTCAATGACTTTGCATTCTCTTTCGCTGAAATGAATAGCTTTTACCTTGACCATTACCGAGGACTTGAATATCGATATGTCACTTCAAGGATAGTTGCGCTCGATGAACAAACCAGAATTCTTGAAGAGTGTCTCTCCACTGGATTGAACAATTCTGAGAGACACCCTGAGCTCATTTGCTAAGTATTAGTAAGTAGATCCATTACACCACCTTCTACAGCTACTTCCAACATGATTGGGAAGCCTAGCTTGGTAGTTCCTTGCAGGGATTCATCTTCAGACGCACCGAGTCATTTGGTACCAGGCATATAGGGACACCGGCGTTGACAGTCATTTCCCTTGCCATATACTTGATCCCAAACAGCCCCATGGACTCTGGACACGGCCGAGTCAGACCATCCCAGCTGCAGAGACTTGTCGAGCGAACTCTGCATTTTCGGAGAGAAGGCCATATCCCGTGCTAATGACATCTACACTCCGTGATTTGGCAATCTTCACAATCTGTTCACCATCTGAACGGGCTTTAACCTCTGGACCAGATAGAAGAATTGATTCATCCGCCGCAGTAAAGATGGTCAGATGCTGCATCAGCATCAGTGGAAATAGCACAATATGAATGTTCAGACTCTTTGCGATCCTGCAGAATCACGCTGCGATTCTGCCTGGATTGGCAGCGAGCAGAGTTCTGAGCTTCTCCATATCTGACCATGTCTGCCACTCGTAGCGTCGTCGGAGAGGAGGTGGCATGATATCTACCAGTATCAAATACGACCTTCTGTGCTATCGATGCTAACTTCGTATCATGATGAGACGATTGGTGGGGCTGCGCGGTACCCAGTCGCCAGGTGAGGGGAATTGGCATGTATCGAAAAGCTGGTAGCAAGGCGGCGCGGAGAAGTCCTAGAGATATTTGTTCCAGGTGTCAATCATTTTACCTTTCACACATATGAGGCTTAAATGCTTCATGCTCGTCTAGTAGATCAGCATGCGTGCTATCAAACATAGAGTATTGATAAATGTGGATCTTGAGGAAGCTGTCCGTTGTGCCAAGACGTGAGAAGTTGAGCTCACACCTTCTCGATACAGATTTGGAACTTTTGCCTAGATTGATCATGCGATATAGCCTGCATTCTCCATGCATGGTGAGTCTGGATTATCCTCGATGCTTTCTGCGGCTAATATCATGACGAAGACCGTGAAAAGCTGCAAAGAGTAGAACACCAAAAGTCGGCGCTCATCCCGGTCTGCTAGATCTGCAAGATTTCGGCAGAGGGGAAATGGAGATTTTTGCCGAAGGACTGATAGCCATCACAATCTACCAGGGCACCCGCGTGGATATCTCCGCCTTTGAAGACGTTCCCTTGCGACACGTGAATGCAGTGTCCACTCTGGCATAACGTGTCGAGATTGTGCGGCAGCTTTCGCTACCGCACGGGACGTTCTGAATGGCATATCAGTGTTCGGGCGTGGTTGGAACTAAAATGGAGAAGACGGCCAATGCTTTAGACATCCCGTTCGGGACAGAACTGTACACAGATGCGAAATATAGCAAGGATGGTGTGCTAGTGATCGACCGGAAGAAGAAATTTGAAGATGTGCGAAACCATATCAGTCAATAGGTGGCCGGTCAGACAGTGACAGCTACTGGTGTCGGGATGGTCGAATTTGCCGGCGAAAGGCCATCCAATCTCGATGCTGCCAATCAGACTGACCAGGCTGTGGGTAGAATCAGGACGACGCGAGAAGTAGCAGATACTAGGTAGGTTCAACGAGGAGCACAATCGCTCTCTGCTGAGGGCGACGCCGGTTGAGGGCCTAAACCCGTATTCGATGCAGTGTCCTCAATGCGTACCAGGATAGAAACAGGATAGAAACAGGATAGAAACAGGATAGAAACAGGATAGAAACAGGGTAGAAACAGGGTAGAAACGTTCCGTGCCGATTCCTTCGAGCGTTGCTGTGTGTATCCTGAGATGAGAGGATATCCGAACTTCGGAACCTTACTGTAGTACAGCAAAACTGCAGAGCCTGCATCCGTAGTGCGTTGTACTTGGGTCTGGCACTAAGGACGGTAATACAAAACCGGCGACTCGAGTGTGGGGTGCATAGGTCGTCTTGGCAGGTCTTCCTGGCCGGAAATAGACAGATTTTCACGCACAAGTCTCGCAGAACCATCATCATGTCTCCTGACAAACACCCAATGGCACCCTTATCAGCCAGAATACGCAGAATCTGCTCAAATCGATTCCTAATCATGCCTGCTTTTCTATTTCAGGGGCCTGGCCATGTTTTTTATACTCTTCTCTCCTTTTCCCCTCTCCCAGCGTGTTTTCTGTTCACTATCCAGTACTTAGTACACCTTGGTCTCCTTCCTTGCAACTCGTTTTTGTTTCCTACACTACTATTGATTGCTACAGTCTGCAAACACATCTTTATCATCCGTTGGCTGCTGAGTCCCAGTGGAGCGTCGCTGGTCACACCGGCTAGCTCCGTTTCGTTTGCAACATGGAAAACCCGCAGTCCGACCTCTACACCTCCATCCTGCTCGTCAACAACATCCACTGCCCCTCATGTGTCTCCTATGCCGAAGACATCCTACGCTCCTTGAGCGACATTGTTCAAGTCACCATCTCCATCCTCAGTCAAGAAATCCGACTGTACCATCGTCGCGCAAAAACTGCCCATGCAGCAATTCAAGAGCTTGAAAAGGGGGCGTTTGAGATTCAACACATCAAAACGTTCGATGGCGAGGGTAGGACTATCTGTGACCGCGAAACTGCTGGAACACGGTTCAAGCAATCGCTATTTTATAGCTGGCCTCTGTTTGGGTCCAAGACTCAGCGGAAGCACATCGAGAACTGCAATGCATGTCGCGCCGAGACAGCCAATCAAAGCATGAAATCAAATGTGTGGGCAGCATCTAGAATAAAAGGGCTACTGGCTGATGTGGAGAAGCAAGCCCTTTCGAAAGCACTTGTAGATGGAGCTGCGTCTATAGGAGTGAGCGATCTGAACAACGTCGATGCTGAACAGTCACATGGACAAGAAATTGCTGAGTATGTTGTGTCCCTGAGTATTGAAGGTATGACCTGCGCATCCTGCAGTGGGTCCATCACCAATAAACTGGAAGCCTTGGATTTCGTTACGGATGTCAACATCAATCTATTGACCAACTCAGGCAAAACAACCTATCATGGGCCCAAGGAGAACAGTGACAAGATCGTCAGCTGCATTCAAGATGCTGGGTACGAAACGTCAGTCAATGAGATCAAGCCACATGGCATGGCAAGCAGCTCCAGACTTGTACCATACAAGTTCGTAGCCTCTCTCAGCCTGGAGGGCATGACCTGTGGATCATGTGTAGGCACAATCACCGAGGGCCTTCAAGCACTATCCTTCGTACATGAAACCAGCATTGATTTGGTCGGTAACAGTGGAAAAATCACTTTCGAAGGGAGGCAGAATATCGACAAAATTTTGCAAAAGATCGATGATCTTGGTTATGATGCTGCTGTGGTCGAGCTGAAAGCGTGTGGCATTCTACAGCCCGCCAACGAAGCCATATCAGACCGAACCGTCACCATTGTTGTTGAAGGCATGTATTGCGAACACTGCCCCGAGGATATTATAAGCGCTCTTAACAACGCATTTGTAGATGCGATCGTGATTGAGAAGCCCTTGAGTTTGCAGGATCCAAAGATTCGAATCCGATACACTCCATCACCTCCGCAGCTTACTATCCGCAAGATCATGAATACCATTTCAAACACCAATGAAGCCTTTTCGGCCAAGATATGGCATCCACCAACTATTGAAGAACGGTCTCGAGCCATGCAGCGCCACGAAAAAAGGCGTATCCTCTTCCGGCTGCTCTTCACCTTTCTTGTTGCGATACCCAGTCTGATCATTGGCGTCATCTACATGAGTCTGGTTTCGAAAAGTGATCCTACCAAGATGTGGTTTGAGGAGCCAGTCTGGGTTGGCAACGTCTCTCGCACCGAATGGGCACTGTTCATCATGACTACTCCAGTCATGTTCTTTGGCGCAGACTATTTTCACACCCGTGCGATCAAAGAACTCAGAGCACTGTGGCGACCAGGGAGCACAGTTCCAATTTTGAGACGCTTCTACCGCTTTGGCAGCATGAACTTACTGATATCTGCAGGAACCTCCGTGGCATATTTCTCTTCTGTTGCCGTTCTTATCTTGGATGCTCGTACTCATCCACAGCATGCGATGCGAGGCCAGTCAAGTACATATTTTGACTCGGTCACTTTCTTGTCGTTCTTCATTCTGATTGGCAAATATCTCGAAGCTTACAGCAAAGCCAAGACAGGAGACGCTGTTGCTATGCTGGGCAAACTTCAACCTGACGAAGCCATTCTTCTTGAGCCAGCTTCGAATGGAAATTCAGAGCTTGAAACTGCTGGGTCGGAAGCATCCCAACATGTGCAAGTTGATATGCTTGAAGTGGGGGACAATGTCCGAGTCGTCCATGGTGCCTCTCCACCCACAGATGGTATCGTGAGTTCAGGCGGAACTTTCCTCTTTGACGAATCCTCTCTCACTGGCGAATCCAAGCCAGTACAGAAAGTGGCGGGTGACCAAGTTTTCACTGGCTCGGTCAACATATCTCAGCCAGTTGATATAACAGTTACAGGTACTGGAGGAACATCAATGCTGGACCAGATTGTTGCCTTGGTGAGAGAAGGTCAGAGCAAAAGAGCTCCTATCGAGCGAATCGCCGATACCATCACAGGCTATTTTGTGCCCGTCATAACTCTCACCGCTATCGTTACCTTCATTGTCTGGTTAACGTTGGGTATGTCAGGTGCACTGCCTGCAAGGTATCTGACCAATGCGCAAGGTGGTTGGCCATTCTGGAGCTTGGAGTTCGCAATTGCCGTCTTCGTCGTGGCATGTCCTTGTGGTCTCGGCCTGGCAGCACCGACAGCATTGTTTGTCGGTGGGGGGTTGGCAGCCAAGCATGGGATTCTGGTTCGAGGAGGCGGCGAAGCTTTTCAAGAAGCTAGCAAATTGGACACGATCGTCTTTGACAAGACTGGCACCTTGACCGAAGGGCAGATGAAGGTGACTGATTATGAAATGCTCAGTGGTGGGCATGGGGAAGTTAAAGATCAGGCACTGGTCTTCGCGCTCTCCAGGGCCCTGGAGGATTCGAGCACGCATCCGATTGCCAAAGCGATAGCGGGATACTGCGCTGCGGAGGATATCAAGAACGTTGATATCATGGGTTGCGATATCACGGAAATCCCTGGCCAGGGCATGCGGGGAAGATTCACGGTCTGGGAGCCAAATCACCAGGACATGACGGTTTACAGCGCCGCAATTGGCAACCAGAGACTACTCTCATCGCTGCAAGATGACAACGAAAGGGGAGACAAACCCAACATGTACCTGGAAGCAGTTCTCAACAAGTTTCAGTCTCGAGGTCAATCTACGGCAATCTTCTATCTTCGCCAGGCTCCCACCAACAGCAAAAGCTTCTCACCAAGCTTCCCAGCCAGCTTCCAACCCATCGCCGTCTTCGCAATCTCGGACCCCATCCGTCCATCCGCTCAGTCGGTCCTCTCCACCCTTCGCCAGCGTCACAATCTCCAAGTCCACATGTGCACAGGGGATAACCCCAGAACCGCGCTCGCCATCGCCTCCCAACTTGGGATTCCATCTGCCAACATTCGCGCTGGTGTAATGCCGATCGACAAAGCAGCCTACATCAAGGAACTACAGCAACAACCACCGGGAGCAAACATGACCAAAAATAAAGAGAAGAGACAAGGGAGAAAAATCGTCGCCTTCCGCCTCCGACGTTTCTATCGCCCTCTCGTCCGGCTCCGACATTGCCATCAGTACATCCTCGTTCATTCTCCTTAATAACGACCTCAACACCCTCCTCACCCTGGTCAGTCTATCCAAACGGGTCTTCAGCCGGGTGAAATGGAACTTCGTCTGGGCAGCGATGTATAACGTACTCTTGGTGCCGGTGGCGGCAGGCGTGTTCTTCAGACTAGGGGATTTGAATGGAAAGGAGGGCATGGGGTGGAAGCTGGGTCCCGTGTGGGCCAGCGCGGCGATGGCCCTATCTTCGGTGAGTGTAGTGGTGAGCAGTTTGGCGTTGAGGCTTCCGCCGGTTGGGGAGTGGTGGAACAAGAAGAGGACAGGTCCCCGGAATGAGCACAAAAATTGACAAGCAGAGTTTGGGAGTACAGGAAAGGATGCCGCTCCGGGGATTCAACACAACGGGTTTTAGGAAGGGATACGATCAAAGAAGTAGGCGGTAGGACAGGAGCTGACGGGTGGCATTCCATGAGGAACCGCGTCAGGTGGTCAGCATGGGCAGGGAGAAGACTGTATGATAGTGCCCGGACAAAAACTAAAAGTCAATAACTAAGTATCATAAGCCGAGCACCTTTTCGCTCGGTTAGTGATGTCCTCCGTATCTTCATTTCTTCAATTTCTTCATATTTTCTTTGACTTTTTTCCCCCCTTTTTTTTCTTTCGGGGGATCTTCTATCCATGTCCATGAAGCGAAGTGGAGGATCCTGTCGCCCTCCCTCTCTTCCCCCCTCTTCTTCTGGCGGAGACCGGTGCACACTCCCAGCCACTATGTTAGTTAGATTGTTCCTGTGAGCATTCACTTGTATATGTGTGTGTATTGGTATGGGTATTGTATGTGCAGAGCACATCAAGGTGTCAGAATCCATGCGCATATGATACGTATCTGTTACGTATCAGCAGGATGATACAGGGTCCCCGCATGCGAAACGCACGAAACGCTCTTGTAACTGGTACGCCCTGACATCTATAGCAGTGAGCATTGCTATACGCATTGGACGCCAGCTGCTGTTTCTGAGTCATTACAGTAATGCGCTTCTATGCTATTAGTATGAGCAAATGCTCCTCTTGATAGGTGTAACTCAATCGATTGAATCCTCTCTCTCTGGATACTGCTTATCTAATCAGTATCTCCGTACGCTATTTGCTACATCCTCTAACACAAAGAAGATCTGCCTTACCTCTTTAAGAACCTGAAGATATAGTACTGTGAGTTAGTGGCAGAAGAAGCGGGTACTGCATCATTGTATTTCTCGGTAAATACTAGCTCACGACATTTCACACAGATAGGTTGGCTAGCTAGGTTGGCAGGGTGGTACTTAGGAGGTTGTTCATCAGGAGCTGGGGATTACATTTATCCTTATCCAACTTGAAGGGGATTGTGTGGGGTTCAGCAGTACCAACAAGCTACTAATGACATGACTGGCTGGGTGGTTTCCGGACAGATTCTTCATTTTTTTTTTTGCTTGATTGAGATGTGCTGCTCATTACAAGGCGGGTGGGTACCGTAGTAAGCAGGTAGGTATCTCGTGCTAGATAGTCGTTACGTTACTGCATAAAAGCCATCATACTACTAACTAGCTCAAAGCTAGAAGTACTTACCCACCAACTTCGAGATATCCGCCTCACACACACCCAATCCCAATCCCAATCCCAATCCCAATCTCTCTCCCCTCCCCTACCCTCTACCCTCCCTCTACCCCTACCTCAACATCCAAACCTGCCAAGGGAAATCAACAATCAATAACTCTCCCAAATCTGCCCTCCCACAGCGACAAGGCGATTAAACAGCTCCTCCCTCTCCTTCATCGCCGTGACCCTCCATCTCGCTCCATCCTTGGTGACGATCTCCAGCCCATCCTTGATCTCCCGCTCGGTAGCCCAGCCGACGACCAGTTTGCCCTTCCAGCCCAACCCGCCCACCTTCTTCAGCTCCGTGATATCGGCGATACTGACCGCCCAGCCCGGCCGCTTCTTGCCACTGGTGATCTCCTCGTCGCCATCGAGCTGGGTCGTGAAGTAGACGCACGGGCGGGCGGGAAAGCTGCCATCTGCCGCGGCGGGTGACACGGAGGAGTCGAGGTAGATGGCGCCTTTCTTGCCGTTATACCTCCCCTTGAATTCGACAGGGCCCTCGGTTTCGGATTTCTTGAGCTCGTCCTTGGGCGGCAGGATTCCGAGTCGCTGTTTGGCGTGTCCAGAGCCGGCCATGGCGCGGACGTGGTCGACGCCCATTTTTGACTCGACCACGCCAGCGGTGGTATATTGGAAGAAGGAAAGGATTTTGGCGCCGATACCGCCCTTCTTCTTCGTTGAGGCTGGTTTGGATGGGGTATCGCTAGTGGTAGTGGAAGCGGGCGGCGGTGCGTCGACAGTGATGACGTCGTCGATCTCTGAGTGGGAGGCGTCGAGGCCGGAGTTGGTGAGGGCATGTTTGTCGAGCTCGGCAGGGTGGTCTGGAGGAGGTTCGTCGGATCGGGGTGGTGGCGGGAGTGGGGCGCGGTTGGCTTCGCCGATGCGGAGAAGGGTGAGAGTCAATTGGGCGTTGGTCGGGACACGTATGAGTAGTGTGTTACGCAGTTCGATATACTTGGGCCAATCCGGGATCTTCTGATTGAGCAGTTTGATGCCGCGTTGGAGGAGTGGATCGGTAAAGAAGGCGAGGCCAAATACGAAGCTGGTGCCGTGGACGACATGGGCGGGTTTGACGAAAAACGATATCAGGAAGAGAGGGGCGACTAAACCAGCGAATCGATATTGATGGGTGTGCGGAAATGGTGGTGTCGGAGACAAGGCGTTGGCAAAACGTTCCCAAACGTCGGCAATATCACCAACTACATGCATTGCGGGTCTCATCTTCGTCCAGATGGCATCTTCCATGGGCTGTTTGGTCTTGTCGTGTTTGACAACTGACTGACCCTGAGCAGAGGCTTTAGAGTCAGCAGCGCCAACTGCCATCTTGGTTGGGTCTGGAAGGTGATCTTCTGCCTTGGTATCCCCGGGATCTCCTTGGTCATGTCTTCCAGCCGCACTGGAGATGGCCACATGAGCGATGCCATTGACAAGATTGCTAGCTTCCTGCTCAACCGCTTCACCCTTATGCTTCTCAGGAGCACCTGTTGCACTGTCATGACTGCCCAGCACTCCTGCTTTTGGCTTTTGTACACCACCGGTCTTGCTGTTGACGAGAGCGATAGGCGCTGGCGGGAAAAGCATCGGGCGAGACTGTGGCACAAGAATGAGGACTAACAACAGTGCACATGAAAGCGGGACGAGGCAACCGAGGAGCCATGCAAGGAAATAGACTGCGCAAAAGGGTGCTGTCCTGCGAGGCTCTCGCCATGACCTTAGTCGGGCGATGTGATTACCAAATCCCATGAGACCGATGATGACGGTCATATAAAGTCTTTCAATATTTGCGCGAAGCTTGTCAGGGGAGAACTCATCTTGATCGGCGATTTCGAGGTCGAGGCCATTGGGTGGCACCCTTGGAATGGATTTGACATGATACATTTGCTGTTGATCAGTCAACATGGATGATGGTCGAGGATTGTGTGTTGCCTTACCCTATTGAACCTCCTGATCAATGTCCATAACTCCTCGTTGGGTAACCCTCCAACCAAGGTGTCTATCTCTTTTGCGTCGGCTCGCCATCCAAGATCCGTAACATCTCCCGTTTGACCCGCTATCTGAGCTGCGCCCTTGATGTCGTGGTCGGCTAATGCTAGAGCATGGCTGTCGGTGGTCTTGTCCTGAGGAGGGGGTCTTGTTAATTGCCCAGAGAGTGGGGAGGGTTTTAATTGAGCTTGGTCGCCTAAAGTGAGTCGTCGTCGCGCAGTTTGGTCTTCGGTTTCTGCTGGAGGAGTAGTGCCACTGTCGCGGAAGACGTAGCCTGGTGTAGGCATGTTGTATGCTTGATTTTGAATGTAGAATGCTGGAGCAGAGGGAAGGTGTTAATTCGGCATGGCAGCCATATTTATTCCCAACTGCTCCACGTAGCAGTACTGGCTACTTTACTACTTTACTACGTAGTAAATCCTGATTGGAAGCCATCCAGGCCCACATACGTCATTTGTCAATTTTCAGATGCTTACTACGTAAGACATTGCCAAGATGCTGCCAAGACCCGGTACCGACATAAGCTTTATCACGTGGCCGCATGTGCCCGAGACACTGTCTGATAATGCGATGAGCCAATGACTGGCAGCCATGTGAGTGAACTGGCTCCACCATCCAATCATTGCTGTAACCAGCAAACAAGCTCACGGTGAATTAATTCCATAGGACGCGCTGAAGCAGGATCTGCTACCGCTAGACACAAAGAGTGCTGCTTTCAAGCTAGGAACGTTGCTTCTTCCTTAACACCCGATGGATATGCTTGAGGTCCCTAACCGGATTTTCTTTGACATGCACATGCCGATATGCCAGACTGAGCACTGCAGCAGACAGTTATTCCTACGTACGTAGACATAGTCAAGAGATAGGGACAAACTCCAGACCAATAGGTGTTGACAGAATTCATTTATGGGGTTAGGCCCCGTATAAGTGTGTGTATATACATGTATATGTGTAAGAGAGAGTCCTGCCACTGCGCAGAGTCTTTGTACAAGGACACCACCAAAGCAGGTGAGTTGCAGGTTGATAGGAAAGCATAACCAAGACTGCAAAATATGGACCGATGTAAACATGCAGCACTCCGTATGGCCTACGCAACATAGGGTAGTAGCACGGTTCATGCTGAGCGAAGTTCACCATTCCTGGTGCAGGAAATCTTTAGTACAAGCATAGCGGTTTCGGTTTGGTCACCTACTGCAGTGGCCGGGGTCCACGTGGCTTCTTCATGCTGCTGAAGTAAGACATGAGGAGGATGTCGTGCAGAATCCGGGTTCTGAGAACGCGGCCACGCTTGCTCTAGACTCTGGTACAGTGGCCTGCAAAGCTCTGGGTGTAGGTTTTGGGAAGAGGGTGAGAAAATCTCTGCTGAAGTCGTTGTATGGCCGGTAACTCACCTCTGTATATCTGCCATGGTGGTGCTTTCAGATGAAACATCTTTCAAAATCCCGGACGATCTGCTGTAAATTCAGCAACTCATCATCAGACTCCCCAACCGCTCCACTACCCTTGAGACAAGTGGCCAATGCTCTCCCAAAGACATCTCCCATCCGGAAACGTGCGGCCCCATTTTCGACTTTCTCCCGGACCAGCCACTGACTTACAGAAGCAATTGCGCTAAGCGGAACATTCACAGCCGGGTTTCTCACGTCCACACATTTGAGGATGATATGCTTGAGCGGACGCCATTCGGCAATCTCGACCATGACCGCTCCAAGCGTGTACATATCCATCTGCTTCCTGAACGATGTGGAGGGTTCTCCAAGCGCCTGAGGGTGGCGGTAGATGTCATGTGATGGGTTCGCCGATGGTTGCTCGCTGATCGCCTCCGGAGAGTCGAAGCGCGAGAAGGCGAAGCCCGTGAGATAGGGTCGGGTCAGGAGTGCAGCGATGGTAGACCCTGCAGAGCTAGGGAAAAAGAGTACATTCTCTGAGCGAAGATCTTTGTGAAGTCAGCCTGCAGTGTGGAGGGTTAATAGAGTGCGGCAGATATGAAGCGCGACATTCAGGCGGACGGTCACGCTTGGTTGTGGCGCTGAGGGGTCACGGAGGATGTCAAGTAATGAAACAGGCTGAGCAGCAGGTAGAGTGGCATTTGCATCAATTGATTCGTCGGGATACGCATATATAAAGGCATAGCGATCGCCATCTTCGAAGAAACCAAGGCAACGAAGAGTCAGGAAGGACGGATCCTTCGGCATTGATAATAGAAGGGCAAGGTTCTTGACTCGAGACATTAGTTCCCTTTGAGCTTTGGGCTAACCGTCTTGTACTCGACGAAGACAGGTTTGCCTAAGTAGAGTCCCGTTCCGACGGAAGGATTACTTGTCTTTGCAACATAACTCTTCAGCAGATCAAGTTGGAGTGGCGCAAGATCTTTATTGCGGCGAACTTTGATGGTATGAGGTGGTGAAGGCAAGGTCATCGGTACCGCTTGCTGCATAGAAACAGAGGACGGCTCAAACTTTTCATCGTCTTGAATTTCGATTCGTGCAGCCTTCAAAGCTGCGGCGACAGCCAATGGAGCTGCATTCCTTGCTGTTCCATTCTGCAGGTTGTTCAATGTGGCCTGCAAATCCTGTAGTCCGCTAACATCCTTGCTGACTTGGATGACGACCGAGAGGACTTGCTTCATCATTTGCGTAACCTCATCCTGCTGGAGCGGATCTAGCAGAGCCCAGAGCCCGTCCACAATTGCCCGGACATCCTGCACCAAATTCTCGAACTTCTTCTTGTCCACCGATGCCCACCAAAGCCTCTTGGGGAGATGGTTCTTGGCTTGTATGAAATTCGCTCGAGCCAAAATCTCTCCGCGTGCCTCTGGCGATACGGCGCCACTTAGGATACCTTGGGAAACAGTTGATTTGCTCTCGTTGTCGTTTACAGAGACATTCGTGGGGCGGTTGGGGACCAGTTCGAGCTTGTATCGTTCCTTCTGTTAGAAGTTGGTGCAAAATAGCATACGGAGGTGCCAATTCACTTGATTGAGTTACTCCTATCAAGAGGAGCATTTGCTCATACTAATAGCTATAGAAGCGCATTACTGTAACAGCTCAGAAACAGCATTTGGCGTTCAATTCGTATAGCAATGCTCACTGCCCTAAATATCAGGGCGTAACAGTTACAAGAGCGTTTCGTGCGTTTTGCATGCGGGGACCCTTGTACCATCATGCTAATACGTAACAGATACGTATCATATACGCAGGGATTCTGACACCTTCAACTTGTTCATGGAAGGGAGAAGTGACAGTTGTCCCATAAGTTCAGCTGCCAGAGTTTGGTTGAGCCTGGGATTGAGGGTGGCATCTGGGCCCGTCAGCCCCACCGTCTTGGCCCACTGTGTGAAGCGATACTCTTCAAGGTTGAGCATCGTGCGAAGAAGTGATGCATCTTGCCCGAGATTGTGGGCCTCCGAGAGCAGGACGAAACCCTTGATACAGCCGCCGAACACCTGGAATGAGAGAGACACCACCGTCAGCGCTGTTCCAGGATCCATAAGAATGACAACGCAGCATCAAGGGCAGAGGTTGTGGGGAACCCATCATTCAGAACAACACATTGACTATGGGTACTACAAGTATAATAGTGAGTGGAAGTTTGCCAAGAGCGAGGCAATGCTGCCAGTGTGTAGACTTCAAAGTTCAGCCGCAGAGGAGTTGGGGCCCAGGAGTTGGGGCCCAGGAGTTGGGGCCCAGGCGATAGCACGGCGTTCTGCGTAAGTATTTCACAAGTTCTACCTCTGGCCGCTGCTCCGCTCCAATTTGGCTCCAATGGCATTCCCAGTATCAGGGAGACCCTTGACTTCTGTCCCCTCCTCGTCTAAGGGAACACCAACTGCCTCGCCAGAAACTTCGACGAAAGCCGAAACTGGCGAGGACTCGCCTTTCGTGCCGAATGTCTTTGATTTCGTTACGCTTGCTGGCCGGGCCCAGCGCGCTATCAGATCAAGAATTCCACCGTTGCTCCTGGGACCCCAAGCTGTTGATAGCTCGCTACACATTGGAGACGGAGCCTCCTTTGCAGTATCATGTCGAGCAATTCCCAAGGTCGAGGCAAGAGAATACACGACTCAAATGGGCGGATTAACTATCATCGCGAAGAGCGATGCGCCTCAGCAACAACGCGAGTCTCTGGTCTATAAGACAGCACGAATCGCTTTCACAGATCTCGGTGACCCAGTGATTCAGGACAGGAGAGCAATGGATTCTGCGATGATGGAAATCTATGCCCTTGGTCAAGCTCCGCTCGTAGAGCATCCGAATATTGTCGATCTTCTTGGACTGGCTTGGGGAAGCAACCCTTTTGAACCCACACACAGATTGCCGGTCATTGTCCTGGAGCACGCAGAACATGGTAGTCTGGCGGCGCTACAAGAAAAGGAGGAACTGCTACCCCAGGCTCGCCTAAGCTTGTGTCTGGATGTCGCGCAGGGGCTCGACATTCTGCATCGCTGCGGCATCATTCATGGAGACGTGAAAGCAGAAAATGTCCTCGTGTTTTCGCATCCAGAAAAAAAGTACATTGCGAAGATTGCTGATTTTGGATTTTCTGTGGTGGGAGAAGCAGCAGCCGTTGCTATGCATCTTGCTGGAACGCGACCATGGAAAGCTCCAGAGACTACCGGTCCCGTGCAAAGAGATCAGCTCAAATTCACTGATGTGTACTCCTATGGCCTGTTTGTGTGGCGGACTGCTGTTGACAGCATGAATCCTTTCTCCTTCCTCCTTCCAGCGGGCTTGAAAGCAGATGAGTTCAATGCAGAAGTTGAACGCATAAAGCAAGCCGATGAGCTAACAAGACGATGTTCCCCGGAGCACTGGTATATTTCATACATCAAAGCCTCTCGAAGATGGAAGGCTGTCTCGCAAGTTCCTCTGTCATTGGAGCAGACGACGCAGCTGCTTCAAAGATGTTTATCATACATGTCCTCTGGCTCGGCCGACTCGGACGAGATCACTCAAATATTTAGGTATACATTTCAAGCATTTTCGTCACATTCTCTCCCCACGCAACAGATTGAGACCCTTCTCTTACTGAGGGCTGCCTCCGATCCTTTCTACGGCAAAGTGAGCGCGGTCCTGGCCCAATGTCTTGGGAAGGATCCGATGTCTAGGTATCTCGGCCGCGCGATCGAATTTTTACAGGGAAAGCCGGTTACAGCGTCAATGTAAGTTCTCAGTACTGCTCGGTCCTTGATAAATTTCCATTATGTCGAATTTACTCCGCTAGCTCCACTGTTTGGTGCCTATAGTTCTCGATGACTTTCGCCATTATTTCAGCAGGCATATTGCCAGAACATTCTTCAAAGTGCACTTGGATTCCATGGCTGAAGTTTTGTCCTTGCATGAGGGTTTTCTAGGGATGGGCTACATTGCCCTCGCTAATATGGATCTGCAGATCATCAAACGACGAGGAGCTCCTACTAAGGAAAAGCTTTGATGTAGGAAGTCCCAGACCCATATAAGTCATCGTGTTTGCGTTAATGTACGGCAGCGCTGTCTCCTTTCGTGGCAGCAGATGAGAAACCTCGAGCCATCTGTACAGACATTTGTTTTTCAGAGATTCTTAGCTCGTGTCCAGAATGCCAGCAAAGACAATAGAGTAAACCCACCAGAATGCTTTATGCTTGCCTCATTTTACATCAATGGCTACGGAGCCGATGTTAACTACGACGAGGCTGTTCGGCTAATCCTTCATGCTGCCAGATGGGGTCATGACATTGCCAAAGCGTACGGTTACCGTATCTGCCGCGCAATAAAGGAAGAATTTCTGGCTGACGATCAGATGATTTCAAATATATGGCATATGGCTCTTGAAGGCTCCCGAATGGCTTCACAGGATCTCGCGGACGTTGCGCCCGGGAACTATTCTGAACTCAGAACAATCCTGCGCGATGGACTTGCAGGCACTGGAGCACGGTTTTTCGAGCCAGGAACTAGTCTACTCCATGGCTTTTCTTACCGGCAGTGGATGAACACGTTCGACGACCAGCAGGCCCTTGTCGAGAATTTAAGTAGACTCGACAGGATCGCTGAGTATCGAATCAACAAACGTGGCGACCGGATATTGCATATAGCCGCAAGCTGCGGAAAGTGCAATGCAATCGAGACGCTTCTTGACACGTTGTCCGCCCTCGACGTGAACCATGTCAACGATCAGGGAGAAACTCCGCTTCTTTGTGCCTGTAGAGCCGGTCAAACAGAGGTTGTTCACCTTCTGCTTGGCCGAGGAGCCGACGCATCCATTGCGACACCGAGCAAAGAATCGCCCCTTCATTGGCTAGTGTCATTTGAAGACGCAGACATCGAGATCGTGGGCGGCACCCTTATTGCAAGTGGCGCTGACATCCGCTTAAGGACTACAAACAGTATCGCTTACTCGCAGTTTCCTTCTGGAATCGACGTGGATCATCAGCAACGTGGAACGCCCCTCAGCTGGGCAGTACACCATGACCGACCAGCGATTGTCAAGTTCTTGCTCGACCACGCTGTATCAGCAGCTATCTGCACAGACACGGTTGCTCCACACCCAACACCAGTGCAGTGGGCGGCCCATTACCACCATGTCGAATGCTTGAAATTTATGATAGAAGCTATGCGGGAAGAGAAGCTCGAATCCACCTACATAACATTCCTCGACCCTGCCACCCGGAGCGCGGATGTGTTCTCGATGATGCTGCGCCATGGCCCACAGTACAGGGTCAAGCTCAAAGAGACGTTTGACTATCTCCTAAAAGCGACCATTGGCGTCACTTTCAGCACGGGCGTTGGCGAGTTTGACTACACGCTGCTCTATCTTGCCTTGTCCGAGGCACATGATGCAGTTGTCGAATACCTTCTCTCGCCAGAGGTTGAGGCCATGCTTTCCGCAGGAGCAGAACAGCACAACTCACAATTGTCCGGCCCCACCGATAAATGGTCGAGGCGCTATGGTGCATTCAGCCGGGAGCATATCAACCAACCATGTGGCGTCGACAAGCGGACGCCCATATTGGAATGCGTGCGATGGAATCGTAAAACCATGTTCCAGCTTCTAGTCGAGCACGGTGCGGACGTTCGCGCGAGTGCCAGGAAGCCTTTCACCAAAGACCAGATGGATTGGAGTGCTCTTCATATATTTGCGTATGCTGGACACAACACCGACGTTACTCTAGTCACCGATCTTGTAGCCGCTGGTGTACCAGTGGAAGGCCGGCTCACTCCAGATTCGATATCTGAGACGCCCTTACTCGTCGCCCTTGAGAACAATGCTTTCAATCTTGCGTCCACTCTGCTGTCTCTCGGAGCGGATATCAATGCCCTCAGCGTCGGTTCAGGCTTGATGGCACTCGAACATCCCAACACAATCCTCGGCCACATCGTTGCCTCAGCTGCACAACACTCGACGCCCCGCTTGCGATACCTCCTATCTCAATGCGAGGCCAGCGAGAATCTCGACTTCACCGTCGAACCCGAGCGAAACATCAGCGCCCTCCACCGCGCCGCCTGGGCCTACCGCGGCACGTACTCCAGATCCCCTGACTCCAATGACGGCCAGCCCATCCAGCGGAGTACTACGACATGGCCGTCAACCGCGACATCATGTACGAGCTCCTCCAAAGATTCCACACCCCCGCACAGCTGGATCTGAAAAGCGGCCACCTCGGCCGAACAGCACTGCACCACGCCGTCGAGGCAGCGAACCTGGCCGCCCTCGAGTTATTGCTCGAACGAGGCGCCCGCACGGATATCCGCGACGCATTAGACCAGACTCCGTTGCAGCTGGGCGAGACAGTGGCGCTGCATGCCGATATCAAATGCGACGGGTGCGGTGTGTCTCCTCTCCGTGGTATTCGCTGGCATTGCCGCTCGTGTCCGGATCACGATGTCTGTGATTCGTGTAAGAAGGCTGGTGCTGATTCGTCGGAGCATCTGTTTGAGAAGATTGCGCTGAAGGAGACGGTGCGGCAGACTGCTGCGGCGCGCGGGGTGACGCTGCAGTCTGTTGCGCTGAATCACAGCTATGGCAATGGTTATGGGGAGGCGGAATGCATGGTACGTATACTGGATCTTCTGGAGGCGGAGGAGAGCTCGCACACTGAAGGTGTAGGTATCGTCGAGGAGGAGCTACGGGGCCTGCGTATTGAGTAAAGACGACGGACGATCCATGGAGTCCATAGAGGGCTAGAGCAGCTTGGATATATATCATTATGCAAAGATGTTCAATACGCATCTATTTACGTGTGCGAACGCTCGAGAATTCTATATCTATCCCGTCACGTTTTATTCGCATATAGGGTATCATCGAGACTAAAACTGATCTGTACACGCACCCCCTACGTACCAAGGGCTAGGATAGCATGGGTGCTTCCGCTTCTTGCAAGGCTGCGATATGACCGTTGATCCCCCGAAATCTGTCGTATAAAATTGGCATACATGTCCTGGGTGTCTGATCGTGCATGGCTTGGCAGGTTCGGTATTTTTGGGAGCTGGGTAATGAGCTATGCTCATTTTCTCGGTCGATGACTGGCTACCTGCCTGGCTCGATTTCTTGCTATACGGGAGATTTTGACCGTCGTTTCAACGTGCCCGCTGGAAACGTCCTTATTTGGTTCCTCCTTGGGCCAATATGGTCAAGGGGGGTTGTCTGGTTGGTGATGCATGAGTAACATCCGATACGGTCCGAGTGCTGTCTAGGAAGTTGTTGGTGTGATCGATAGCATCCTAAAGATGTCTGTCACTAGTTGTGCCGATGATCGTGACAATCTTCCCGAGAGTGGCATACTCGAGTTTGAGCTTGATGCTGTATATTGCACCTGAATGTGTGTTCAAGAGTTCTTTGGTCCTTGTACCTAAGGGTCAAAAGGCCAGCTCCATGAGTACAATGATGACGTTGATACTGAATAGATGCCAACAGGACAATTTTGAGTATGCTCATTCGATACCACTTTAAAGAGTCAAATCGTTTCCAAGAGTGAGAGAGTAGAAATAATGAATTCCTGGACACGCACCAAGGTCATCCGCACTTTCTCGACCACGACATAGACGGCAGTTGATGTCTTCGCAGCGCTGTTGTATACTGCACCGAAAGCAACACTAGTTCTCAAGGTATGCCAGAGCACTGCGTTGACAATGATCATCCAGAGCACAGCTCGAAGGATCTTCTACTTGTGGGGGACGGACTAGGTGCAACCTCAAATAGAAAATGATAGACCGCACAGTAACCCCAGTGATCCATCCAACTGAATCAATAAAGATTCCCACCCATTGATGCGTCACTCCGAATTAGACCAGGCGAAAGCCGACAGTGTATGGAATGACTCCTGCTGAAGCGATCAAGAGTGACCCAGAGTTAAGACCGGCATATCGCCTGAAAGTGGTAATTGTCAGCAGCAACAACAGCAACACTAGTTAGAGAATTGTACAGAGCGGGGATTGATGTGAAGACGACGCTTAGAGCAAAACCGTTGAAGTAGCCGCTGTCTGCCTCGGTTGGATTCTGTCAGTCAGTGTCCGGCATTCTCCAGACCCGATGACATGAAGATGTGGTCTAAGGTTGCAATCAGCGTTGCTGCCAAGGACGGGCAATGAGATGGGCCATCTCGAAGTCGCATCAGGACTGCTATCGGTGGGTTGTATATCAGAATTTAAAAGATAGCTCAAAGTTGAGGAGTACAGATGGTGTTGACAGGACACTTGTTTCAGACTGCCCACTTGATTCCTTTCCTGAATGGATATGGATATGGATATTGACCATTTGCAAGGCCACAACATGTAAAACTCATCACGTGAAGATCCTGTAAATTGCGGGGATGGAATTCTCTTCTTCTTGGACCGGAGTGACCCTGGATGACGTATCCCTCAGCTTGGGATTGATTGGTAAACGGTGTCACAGAAACCAGACGAGACCTCGGCCATTTGTTTGATTTCTAAGATGGAAGCACGTTGCAGCAATGGCGCAATCTCTAGTGCTTGCATTAACTAATCTTCGTGATATACAGCTGTAGTATATATTTCTTCCATTTTCGCTATTCGAACGTCTCATAACTTCCTCTGCTACCATCTCACCGTTCCTCGAGACACCAGAAAATAGCTACTCTCACGCAGTCACTTCGAAGAACCATAGTACCACTTTCACGCATTGTAAGAAACAATCTTTATAATATTACCCGACCAGGCATCAAGATGTCCGCCACCACTACCACGCAAACCTCAGCTCCCAAGATCTCCACTACTCAAGACGCCTCCTATATCCCTCGAGGCCCTGTGACAGCGTCCTTATCATTCTACAAAGCACCAGAGGATGGCTCGAAGCCCTTCTACTTTGTCGAAGAGCCACCCGAAGGCCAGCCACAGCGCAATTTCGATGATGAGTACCATGACGTCCAGATGAACGATATCCGTGGCCATGAATCAGATTTCAGACTTGACGTCGACGCCTTCCAAACCTTTCAAAACATACCATCAGAGGAGAAGGACTTTGCCGATGATGAGCATATAAAACAAACCTACTACCCAGAGGTGGAGAAGCTACTTCTAGACAACGTCCCTGGTGCACACAAGGTCGTCCTCTTCGATCATACAATCCGCAGAGCAGCGCCCAATGCATCTCGTGCTCCCGTCATGAGAACGCATGTCGATCAGACCGCGCGCTCCACGGAGTTGCGCGTCAGGCTGCACTCTCCCGACGACGCAGATGAGCTGCTCAAGGGTCGATATCGCATCATCAACGTATGGCGACCGCTGAACGGCCCCGTCCAATCCTTCCCACTTGGATTTGCCTCGGCCGATACCGTGGACGACAGCGATCTGATCGGCGTGGAGCACAGATACCCAGATAGAACTGGAGAGACTGCTGCGGTGCGGTTCAACCCGAACCAGAAGTTTTATTACTGGAGCGGTATGACGAACGACGAGAGGCTGTTCTTGAAGTGTTTTGACTCCCAACAAGGCGTGGGACAGAGAGTCCCACATACCGCTTTTGTGGATCCGAGAACGCCTGAGGGTGCACCTGGGAGAGAGAGCATTGAAGTCCGCGCGTTGGTATACGGATAGAGAATGGCCGAGTTGCTGGAATGCTCAGAGTCTAAATCGTGATTTGAGTACTTAGCGAGCAATTTGCGTCTTTGGTCACTAGAAAGTTCATCTACTTACCTAAGACTTCATCTTTACGGTTCTGTCTTAACCTGTCTTTCCAGGGTCTGTGACTTCAGATCCCGTGTCAGTCACCAAGCTCGAGTTCTCTTTAATGCTGGTATTTTTCATCCAGAGCACTGTGTGATGATACCCGGCCCAATAAGCGGGACAGGAGCCAAGATTTCTCAACTCATCGATCCATCGCCTTGATCTTCTCTCCCACAATCCTCTCCACCATCTTCTCCAACACCGCCGCCTCCCCTCCCTTCCTCGTATCCTCAAAATACCCCCTCACACTCTTCTCCACATACTTGCCCACCATATCAATCTCGAGATTCACATCCTCCCCCTCCCTCTTCGCGGCCGTAACCACCTTCTCCTGCGTATACGCAATAAGCATGATCTCGAACCAGGCCTCGTCGTCGTCATCCTCAACCCGTGTCACCGTCAAACTCGCCCCATCCAGCGCCACATACCCCTTCTCGATCACGTACCTCAGCACCCGCCTCTCGCGCGGCTGCAGCCGGAAAACGAGACTATTCCCATCCTCGCGCACGCCCAGGATGGTGGCGATGGTGTCGACGTGGCCCTGGACGAAATGGCCGCCCATGCGTGTCGAGGCGGAGACGGAGCGCTCGAGGTTCACCTTGCTGCCCTGCGCCAGGGAGCCGAGGTTCGTGCGGCGCAGCGTTTCGGGGGAGACGCCGACTTTGAAGTATGAAGACGCGGACGAGGATGAGGAAGAGGGGTTATTGGGGTGGGAGAATTCGGTGATGGTCAGACACGTCCCGTTCACGCTGATGCTGTCGCCGAGCGAGGCGTCGCTGAGGATGGAGGCGCAGTCTGAGATGGTGAGGGATGTGCCGCTGCCGCCTGAAGAGGTGGAGTCGAGGGAGGTGAGGTTCGTGACGGCTTGGGGGTGTGGGTTAGTGGCGGGATGGTACGGAGGAGTTGTGCATTGACTCACTGCCGATGGTCTCGACTAGGCCGGTGAACATGGTTGGAGGGAGGGGAAAGGAATAGTGACGAGGTAGATGGAGTGTCTGTACTTTGCAGGGCTAGAAGACTGCTGGGTATCTTGAAGTACAAGGACAATAATCGGTAGGCTTATGGTTGCCAAGAGATTATGCCTCGGGTCGGATATACTAACTAGTACTAAGTACGGAGTACTAAGTTAGTACTTAAAGCGAGGTGGGGCAGAGCATCCCAAGGACGGAGGTCATGTCTGACTTGGAAAAAGCAGAGAAAGTACCAAACAGTAGCAGACGAGGAACGACGCCAGACCAGCTTGCTAGAAGTCTGGAACTCCATCTAGAGAGCTGATTGCTGTCTGAATCTCTCCAGAGATTTAATTGAATTTCAGCTCACAAGCAGCAAGGCTACCCACTTCTTGCTAATCAGTCCTGATATTCTAAACGTAATTGATCCCCAATCATGACATCGATCGCAATGACGGTTCTGTGTTTCCGTACACCATCCTCCTTGCACTCAATGCTCATCGGTGCCGTGCGTCTCCCAGAACCAGACTTGCCCCACTTAAGGATTGACCCCTCCATGACCTTGGTGATGCAGAAACCTCCACGCAGCTTGCGTGGGCCAGATCGATAGCAGAACCTGAGCAGCGCCGAAGGCGATACTGACGATGGTGTAGAGGTCGCCGCTTTGCTTCGAAGAAGGTACAGACATGCTGCTGCTGTTTGCCTTGTCTGTGTTTAAATGGCAGTTGGTCGGTTCGGAATTTGGGAGATAGCTGAGGCAACAGCTTGGAGTTGGTACTTCGCTGTGTACGATCACAGGTATAGAGGGTCGATCGGTGATGATGGGGTTCGACGCAGTAATATAACTTGAATGGGCTGGCGTAGACGTTGTCGTAGACGATGCTATTGAGGAGATCGGGTCTGCAGCTTGTATGGTGGGACTCGTGGTGTTGATATGGCAAGAGGCTGCAGCTAGACCGAAGCAAGATTCTGGAAGTGGGACAGCGGCAGAGATTGACATCGAGGACGGGGAGAGCAAGAGCAGGAGCGTAACAGCCAAAGGAACGTGCATAATGCAGATATAATGCAGACAAGTTTAATAGAGTTTATTGCGCGAGATAGATGATAGGAGATAGATGTCGTGTGAATGCATGGCATCAAGACGATTACCTCCCAGCTATATATCATTCATGGAGCATAGCCTTAGGGGCAAACCGAACAAAACAACCGCAGAAACTTGAGGCCTTTAGACGAAAACAAAAACTTACATGCACCGTCACTGATGTTGTTGGAAGAACGGATTAAATCTTAGAAATATGGGTGGGCTTTCTCAAAAGACTGGAAATTCAGAGGATTTTCGAAGAAATGCAAAAATTCTTTCGAAAATCATTGAAACTAGCACGAGTGCCGGAACCAACTCCGTGGCTGATTATCCCCTGTGCTACGGATGGGTAATTCTCCTTCTTAGGAATAGCGTTCCCGGAAGCTAACTGGATTTAGCTCGATGATTTTGCGGCAGCCTTGGAGGGTGAACGCCAAAGTCAATTGTTATTCCAATGTTCTTTGCTTATATTTACTCTTATTGTTAGCCTTATCGCTTTAAGAATGACATCATGGATAACCCTTGATATTCTGATCAATGTATAACTTTACAGTCTAAGAAATATGATTATATGATGGAGAAACATCTAATACTAAAATTATATTCAGAGAAGTTTTGATGTTCTTCTTGCCAAGGCTGCAGCAAACTTATTACTAAGTTAAATCATGGGAGGGATTTCCTCAAGACATTTAGTGACACAAGGGATAGTACGAACCGCAGCACGAGCACATACGTAGTACGTAGTACACCTACGCCGTACTTGGTACCCGCACCCACAGACCTGGCCCTGGCGAAGGCGCTTCAGGCTGAAGGAGGATGACAAGGCTGAATGAAAGGTTGCCCTGTCTAGGTAACAACTTTTTACCACAATGATGGACGTAGGTATGATCACGGACTGATTCTCCGGGACAACTGCACTCATTGGCATTGTGCTTCAAAGGTGTCCAGTGGGCGAGTATCCAAAAGCCACTCATGGAGGACGTCAACCTGCCGACAGCCGATCTTTCACAATCTGAACAGGCAAGCGAACAATCTACTGGGGAGGCCACCCGGTGTGCAACTCAGAACACAACGCAGCCCCTTCCTCTACCAGCTAGTCCCATCGAGATTATTGGAGACAACTCTGCGCAACATCCGCCATCTGGACGACTCACGGCTACCCTCAGTCCATTCCCCCGCGTGGAGATCCCCGAATACCCACCACAACCCCTCCCGAGACGGAAGCCAGCATACTCTAAAAGAGCATGTCTCTCTTGTCGCAGACGAAAGATGAGATGCGATGATATAGAGCCAACATGTGGACCATGTACCAGATTGAAGGTGACATGCGAGTACCCGCCATCTAGGAACGAAAATCAACCAATGGCAGTGGCTGAGAGGCTCGATACTATGCAGGATGGCATCACGAAACTCCTTCAATTGCTGCCACGACTTTCCGTGCAGCCAAAGCCCCGAGCGATGCCATTCTCCCTGGAGGCCTACCTCGGTGCCCAGCAGGAAATAGAAGTGTCGGCAGAACAGCAACGTGTTGTCCAGAATTTAGAAGACTCCTTACACAAATTGAGCAGTTTCCCAAACTGGCCACTGCTGAGTGGGAGGCTTGTCAGGTAGGAGCAGTGCAAGGCCAAGTAGGAAGACGTTCCGCTGACAGCTTTCAAGCTTCATATCTGACCTTCGAGCGCACACGCTTACCACCGAACAACCACCACATCAAGAGGGTGCCGGCGCGTCATCAGAACCAGTGCTGATACAGGGCGGTTCGCGATCGCATATGCTTCAGAAACGGAAATTCGAGGACGACGTGCAGGAAAAGAAGTTTTTCTGCTTCCACGAAAGCTGTGAACAGTCGTACAATTCAGAAAAGCTTTTGGGGAATCACATCCGCAATACTCACAAGGATAGGTGGCCGGATCTCCCCGGAACCTGTGATCATGAGGGGAGCGTGAAGAAGTTCCGGACATGGGAAGAGTGCCTGACCCATCTCACCTTTCACCAGAGAGCGATGGGTATGCGACGGAAAGAGTATGACAAAATCCAAGCTTCTGCCCAATTCTGGGTGTCTTACAGCAACCAGCGCGTGGGGAGAGATGGTCTGGCCTCTATCAATGGCAGTCCCATAGACAACGTGGGCTATTCCCCTGCAAGCAATTCAGGTTATGGAACAGCTTGGGACTCAGCAGCGAACACTTTCCTGGGGTCAAATCCAATGGGGAGTATGGACCGATCTCCTGTAAGTAATTCGGGAAATCGACCACCATGGGATATCCCGGCGACCGATTCTTTTCGTGCTGCCTCGATGGCCATCAACGGTGAAGACTTTAGCTTCCCATCCATGGCTTCGTAGTGGCAAAGCTCTCAGCAGATCAAGGAAGCTGGGCGCCCTCCATGCTCATTGCTCAAGGACGTCTTCTGGCCTTTTCAGCTCCTCGACACAATGGTCCGGTGCGTCTTGGTGCGTCACCATTGAGGCAGCTCGTGTATAAATAATAGAGAGATCTACATTTCTGTTAATATTCGGCCACATCAAAAGCAAAGATGCCTTACATGGCTCTAATCAGAACCAGTTGGCGGAGCCTAGATACCATGGCCCAAAGCTCGATTAGAATTCGTGAGACTGATTTTAGTCATGAGAAATATATGCCAAGAGTGTTACTAATTCCTTCACCTACTAGTAACCTCGGTCCTCCGGTCCTTATTATCTCTCAACTCTGGATTCTGGGACATAAGACGCTGGTTCCGACAGTCTCAAGCGTTGCCATATCATTTCATGTCCCGAACCCATGTGGTTCGGCACCCAAGAGCCTACTGACACAGGTCCTAGCACTATTTTCATTCCGCGCGTCGGAAGCCCCATAGCTCTGCTGATAAGAATTCTTGCAAGGCTATCTCCAGAAAATAAGGTTAAAAAATTCCCCACAACTCAACATCCCGCTCAACCACTCCTCGGGTGGTTTCGTGGGTGCAGGACTGCGACATGGTTCTGCCTTACGATAGCTGGCCCCTTCTCAGGGGTCTCTTCTATAGCTGTTTAGGCCGCCCTTTTTGATCGAGAAGGGAAAGGGATTTTCGTGTTGAGTCTTCTGTAACTGCATTCTTTCCATCATTTGCTTAAAGCAAAGTGACCTCTCTTTCTCTTCTCTTCTGTACTATTCTCGCTCTTCTTCCTTCTTCCTCTCCTTCGACTCTGAGATCGTAGCACAGGAGTTTAGTAGGTTGAGAGGCAGCGCAAATTTGGTGGAAACGCGGGTATGTGCCATCATGGCAACCATATAAGGTATAAAATGGTACACATAAGACCAATAATTGCCTGCCCATTGTTCATATATGCGGTATGTAATGCGACCACGGCGTTGAAGCGGACACTCCAATCGGAACTGATCGTAGGCTGATGAACGATTCCACCACCAAGAAGATAGGTGCAAAGACATATACTAAAAGGGCACAGAAAAATAATAGTGCAAACGCCGCCGAAAAAGCCCATGCTAACCAGGAAGAGTCCTCATTGAATATCCACGCTAACACAACTGGAAGAACGATAATAACAAAGACGGGTGTCGTTCCCGCCAGGAAAAGCGCAGAAAATCGCCACAACCACATTTCTGTTTTGGATGGAAAGTGCAAGTGCCAGGCTGTGAGGTGAACTCCTCCATACGCTATCAGGATTAGTGCTCCGATGGTAACTTCTCTGAAGCCGGTTGTTCTTGACTTCTGTAGATTTTTAGATCTGTTCAGCGTCGTCGGGATGAATATCGGAAGTTCTTTACGCGTTGCGCGTTCACCGCCGGCCCGCTGCCAAGCGCGCCATGCACTCTGGAGCGTTTCCTGTAGCGAAGGATTCAGGCGTAGTAGGGGAAGTTTGTACAGAACTTCATCAGCAACCTTTGGCTTAACAATGACTGTTATACCAGTCGATTCCGCCCCTGCGAATGTCCAAGGCATGCTAGGGAAGGATATTTCGGATTCATTGGAGGAGCTCAGATGCCTTGCTGTCGGGACTTTCTCCAAGTCAGGATGTCCAATGATCTCCGCTGTAGGGCAATAGTCCTCCTTGCGGAACGTAAACCAGCTACCAGGCTCTACCTCCCAAACTGAATCAGGGCGTTTAAGTAGACTAATCACTTTCCAGAGAGCTAGTAACTCCATGTCATCATCTGAAAGATTTGAAACTGTTCCTTCTGTCATGTCGAACGGTTTCTAAAGAAATGTCAGTCACGGTTATACCTTGTTCTGATAAGACTCCTGTTATGAAATAGAGAGTGTACGAGGTGTCTGAGAGTGCCATACCTTAAACCACAGAAGATAAAGACATAGTGAGCAAACCACATGAACAAGAGTGTGAATTTCAAGAAGCGTCAACGGTAGACCACTGATTTTCCGAGCAATACACTCCACTGATAGCCAGGTGACTTGCGCGCAGATCACAAGTTTCGTTAAGGTGTCTGCTTTGCTTCGGGCCTCAATGCTCCTGCTGTCAATCCATAAGAATGTTCCATGATGCGCTAGCCACTCCAATGTTTCTGGCGGGAGAACAACTGATCCTGATTTAGTAAATTATTTACCCAAACTAACTCGAAACCCGCCCATCACGACGAAGAAACTATATCGAAGGTCAAATGTTTCCGGGATCGGATGTTTCAAAGTTCCTTCGCGTAATGGCGTTCTCTTTCTTTGTTGAGTATCCTTGTGAGAGCCAGAGCACGCGAGAATTGATTCCACGCAGCGTAAAGCAAAATCTCAGGAGCCAGTAAGCCGCAAACAGTCCATTTGGCTTTCCTGAGGACGCGTTTGATTGTTGTGTCTTCAGGCGCAGGCACATTCATATGTACCGCTGTCCAGTTGCAGAGAATGATTGTAACGATGCACGTCCATAGAATGTCGGCCGTTCCGCGAGTCTTAGCCGGAGGCATCCATTGCTCAACTGTTATCTCGTTAAGTGCGACGGTATCGTTCAATGGAATGGTTGTCATGGCTCTCCGGATGGCCAGGGCAACTCGCGTTGGATTTGGAGATGCAAACACTGTGAATAAGCGGCGGCGACAATGTAGAACTATTAGACTCTATTTTAATGCTATCAAAAGCCAGATTGAATATAAGTCCATCTCACCGGCGACAGAAGACTAATGCATGCCTGAGCCACTTGACTAGCTCAGCCCCTTCGACTTACGTAAAAATCAACAGAATCCGCGCAGCTATCTCACACAGAATCCTGCATAGAGTCCGCAGCCAAGAAATGCCACCACTATATCTCTTAAGTAATCACTATTCTAGGGCATATCAACCCCAGAATCAGATCACTAGAGGCCGATGGGGCTAAGGGTCATCCAAAGCCCCACTGCTTAGGGCGTTAGCAGGACCGAAAGATTTTGCCGTTAGTCCAACGAGCAAGATGCGGCTGATCACGATGATTGGCCTGACTGTCCTGTTACGGTAATGCATTTCGACCCTAAGCTTATGAAGGAGGAGTTGATGACAAGATTGCCAAGAGTGTACGTCATGGTACAATCCTTAGCGCAGTTTAAGTACTTTTAGTGCACAACTTCCTACACTAAAACGAATAACAATCAGGCCAAAATACGGGTTCCTGATCTCAGATGTTGCCTCAGTTCTCAGCCGTGCTCTATTGCTTACGTAGTGGTGTGAGACAATGTCTGCTTAGTCAGCGACTAGCCCATTTCGAGCATGACATGTGTGGCTGTGCCCACTAAGCCACGTCTGCTTCACCTAACCTCGGTCCTCCGGTCCTTATCCAGCCTTGCAAGTAGCGACTTGACCGATCTCCAGACACCCAACCATCTCTTCTCCTTGCCGATGGATTACCCTCTCCGCAGACCAGTCTGTCTCTGAAAAGCCTGGGATCCTACTGTCATGGCGGGTACAAGTCAAGTATGCTCTGCTTGCGAACAGATGTTCGTCCAGCCAGACTGCATTCCCTGGGACAAGGCCAAGTGCACATTTCGTGTAACTGTGAAGAGTGTTTCCAGCTCCGCCCACTCTGGTTGTCGGCTATGTATTCTCATAAGGTCAATCATGTCTTCTTTCCGCTGCCGCACAACCTGAGTCGTACTTGAAAACACGGAATTCGAATGCTCGCTGAGGTGGTCGGATGAGGAAGCCAAACTTTTCGCCCTTCAGTACAGAATTGCTGATTCCATTCTGGATGCCTTTTCATCGAGCTCCACACTGAATCTTGGTAGTCATACCGGAGTCATTGATGCTGTGTCTCGAGTCGTAAGAGCTGACAGCACATAGCCGTCACAGACATGGCAATTGGCAGGATGAGATCGCCGAATACTGCGTCAGAGATTTGCAATTCTATCGCGTCGCGGTGGCTGGTCGATTGCCTAGCTAGCCATGACAAGTCTTGACGCAAGGACCAAGGACCACCTTGCTTCCTACCCGTCTAATTGATGTGGGGGTTGCATGGTTTTCTTCAGTGGTCCGTCTCACAATCACTTCTGAGCTCGGATCCGGCAAGATGAACTCCCCTTACATATATCTAACTCACCTCTGGACGGTTGGAGGAATCATAAGATTGACACGATCTAACATAGATATCTTAAGACGAAATATTCCAAAAGAAATACTTTCACCTACATTTCGGGAAGCCATCCAGGCCACTCGAAGCATGGGCATTCGATACATCTGGATCGATTCCTCGTGCGTCTTGCAAGATTCACCAACAGACTGGGTTGCAGACTCATCTCAGATGGTGACATATATACACGATCACTGTGTAACATAGCTGTAACCAGGTCATCAATGACCTACACAGGGTTGTTTCAGGATACAGATGCTTGTCTGATCACTCCTTATAGGACCCATATCAAACTTAAAGGACATGACGCAATTCACTGCTTTTCGCGGGCAACCTCTGGGGCTCTTCTCTTCACGACGCCTATATAAACCAACGCGGCTGGGTCCTTCGAGAAAGAATGATGAGCATTCACTCTTTACACTACTCTTCGCAGCTCTTCTGGGAATGCCGGACGTTCAAGCGTGTGAGACTTATACCGAGGGCTATCCCATGATCCGACTACGTTCGCAGCTGCCGAAATCTTCGTTCACACTTCTAGCCTTGAAGATTGGCGGGACGACTTCCCTGGTGATACCTACGGCTGAGACTCAATTTTTGGGAAATACACGAGATGCTACTCACCAAGCATGAGGACAGGCTTGTCGCTATTGCTAGTATTAACCTACCATGGTGTTGGTCAATGTAAGCGGGCGTGCCAGGAGACCCAATCAGTATCGATGTAAGTGTAGCCTTGAATAGTGGGGAGGAGCTGAGACCTTATACTCTATAACCCCTCTTGGTCCTGGGCATGCCTAAATATTGATCGTGCAGACGTCGACTCCATCACTACCATGGGTTTGGATGAGAATCCAGTTACCTTGTTGGACGTACAGATGGAGTCTGCTCCGGACAATATCGATGGCAACCTTACTGGAGGTTACGTTCACCTCAGGAGGCGAATTGGGCAGATATCCCCCGTCGACATAATCATGGAAGGAGACTAGATGATAGGCGCAGGATATTCACACGAAACCATCCTAGACGCTGAGGAGTCATTGTATGATGAGGCTCTCCATTGCTTACCTCTGGGTATGTTGCACGTACAGCCTGACACCAACTGGCCTCCAATGACCCACCGTCATCTATTGGGAAGCATCCATCCAGACGCTGCCGAGTACGCAAGGATTGGCAGATTGAGCGTATCTCTGGCTTGGGGACACGGTCTTGCAATGGATCGTGGAATTTTCAAATTCAGACGCTCATTTTTGCGAGGACTTAATGGTAGTGACGATCTCTAAATGTGTCTCCAGAGAAGAAACAATTCAAATATATTCTGAGATCATCTCATCTACGATGATGACGATCATATTTTCAATACCCAGGCATCAATGGTCTGTTGTGAAGTGACGGAGAGCTCAGAGGTCGTGGAACGCTGTAGAGATTATTGCAAATGGATAGCGCAGAGAGCCCAGTTATTATAAAGGGCACTAATATAATTCTCCAATAATCCAGACTTCTTATTAACATAATGGTGAGAGATGGAGGTGAGTTGTTTGTGCAAATAGCTTCCATCATCAGCACATAGTCATGTTATCGAGCCTTTGTTCGGGGGTCCAAGCCTAGTGACAGATTTCATGACACTCTGCTGGCACGTTAAGAGGGCTGCAGAATCTGTTAGCAGATCCCCAGCCCTCAGCATCCAAAAGTCAGAGCTGTTTTAGGCTACAAGGCCCCACCAAATCTTGGCTCCTCACTTAAAGATCACGAATCTCGAGTGGAGACGTGCGGGGAAATTTCCGAGGTCCTCCGGTGCAAAACCAGTGCTGCCTCTCAACTAATTGAATTCTTCACGTCTGGACGAGTTTAATGCAGTCATAATGTGAATACGTCTTCACAGACTCGCCGCGATCATGGCCATATCATTTAAACCCTTCGCGTCACTAGCGTCGAAGGCGAGTCGAGGCTTTGCTGCTCATGCATCTCCGCCTGGTTGTCCAAGACGGTTTGCTTCTGTCGCCCACCCAAAGAGAGAAGGTCCGCTGGATGGTATCAGAGTCCTTGATATGACGAGAGTATTGGCTGGGGTACGGAATTCTCCCTTCAACGGGATCGATGTTGAGCCCACTGACAGATGATAGCCATATTGTACGCAAATACTAGGAGATCTCGGGTATGCCTGATATGCCCATACTTGATTGTATGACGATCACTACTCTCTGCTGTCATGCGGAGAATGTGACTAACAAAGCTATCGTGCGTCAGCGCCGAAGTGATCAAGATCGAGCATCCAACCAGAGGAGATGATACGAGGGCCTGGGGACCACCTTTCGCCAGGTACTCAAGGGATAGTCCTAAAGAAGGACCCGGCGAGAGTGCTTACTTCCTATCTGTGAGAGCTTCATCAAGTAGTGAGGAATGCAGACTCATAATCAACAGGTCAACCGAAACAAGAAATCCTTAGCTCTCTCGTTCGCAGATCCTAAAGGGGTCGAGATTCTACATAAACTCGCCGCTTCGTCAGATATTCTGGTCGAAAATTACTTGCTTGGTAGTCTGAAGAAGTACCAGATGGACTATGATACGATTCACAACCTTAACTCCAGGTACTAATCATTCTTGTTGCATTTCGACATTCCCACGTTCCACAGTTGACCATTCTAATCGACAGCCTGATCTACGCCTCCATAACGGGCTATGGCCAAAATGGTCCCTACTCCTCACGCGCCGGCTACGACGTCATGGTCGAAGCAGAAATGGGACTTATGCACATCACAGGTGAACGAGGCGGCCCACCAGTCAAAGTCGGTGTTGCCGTAACAGACCTCACCACCGGCCTCTACACCAGTAATGCCATCATGGCCAGCCTGATAGCACGAGGTCGGACCGGTAAAGGACAACATCTCGACGTCGCTTTAAGTGACTGCCAAGTTGCTACGTTAGCGAACATGGCGAGCTCAGTGTTAATTTCCGGAGAAAGAGATATGGGCAGATGGGGAACCGCCCACCCATCCATCGTCCCCTACAAAGGATTCCGCACCCTCGACGGTGATATCTTGCTCGGAGGCGGTAATGACCGTCTGTTTGGCATCCTTTGCGACAGACTGGGTAAATCCGCGTGGAAAACAGACAAGCGATTCATCAGCAATAATTCTCGAGTTGCGAACCGGGTCGAGTTGGAACGGCTCATCGAGGAGGTTACTAAGACAAAGTCGACGAAGGAGTGGCTGGATCTCTTGGAAGGATCCGGCATGCCATACGCAGCTATCAACGATGTAATGGATACATTGAATCATCAGCATGTGCAAGCGAGGGGGATGGTGACGCAGGTTGAACATCAGGAATGTGGTACGATGAAACTGGTCAGTCCGCCGGTCAAGTATAGTGAGAGCGTCACAAGTATACGGAGTGCACCGCCGATGCTAGGGCAGCATACAGATGAGGTTTTGATGGGGCTGCTGGGCATGGAGGAAGCTGAGGTGGAGGATTTGAGGAAGAAAGGGGTTGTTGCATAGAGGTAGAACAGAATCTCGATCCGGCTTGGATAGAAGGAAAAAGAATTGAAGCTGCAGCGGGGCTGTTCTCCTTGAAAGCTTTTCCATTCCTGGCAGGTGGTCGACATTGCCCAATTCAGCTGACTGGTATCAGAGTCCCCTCCAAGTCGTTACGACCAGACTCGGAAACACCAAGCAGAGGCACACACAGACTTACCCAAGCAATCAAGCAACCAAGCACTCGGGACATCCCAATCAGGAAACCTGTCCCTAAATCGAGACATGATTTCTCTCGATAGCAAGACTCAGTGACCGCAACGTACACCATCCCAGCTTCGACTCATCCGGGGCGTTCCCTTCCTAGGCCTGAATCGAGCCCAAATCAAATCGTCCCTGGAACAACCACCGCTGCTACACGTACACTGACAGGGTCTCCATGATTCTTGCTGCATTGACAGAGAGAAAGAAAAAGGGGAAAGGGAGGAAGAAACATGAAGGGCTCTTCTCAACCTTGCTGAACCTACCTCCTACTACTGCGTTTTCCCCACTTCTCTCGATCACTCGCGCGCGGGGGCTAGGATTCAATGTGATCAACCGGTCAAGAGGCGAGCATGCATTTTTACCAGAGGGATTCGCACAGTCCAACATGAGAAAGCGGTCCGTCCACCTCGGCTCGGCTCGGCTGCGCAATCAGTACGGTAAGGAGCTGCGTGTTTGTCTGGAGTGAGTATCCAATTCACAGCACATGTTAATATTATTTATATCCATATCCATATCCATATCCATCAAGCACCCCTTAACCCGGCCCACCTCGTCTTTGCCCTGCAACTCACCACCTCCACCCTCTCCTTTCCGCCCGTCTCCCCTACCTCACCCCCGCACCCGAGTCTGGACTTCCCATCCCCCTCCAAACCTTGAAATCCCACAACCTCACCCCCACCAGAAACTCACACTAACCCCCGTCGCGCAACTGCGCACATAATGCCACCAACCCACGGGAACATAAAGCGCCTCCCCGGCCTCGAGCACACACTCCAGATACGGCACCGCGCCGAGCCCGGGATAGACGGCATCCCAGTCTTCGGCGGGCGAGAGCTCGATGGCGGCGAGATCGATGCGCGAGGTGTTGGAGAGGTCGATCGTCGCTTTCTCTTCATCCTCCTCTGTCTTCTTATCATCCGGCTCTGGGATGATGGCGGTGCCGCGCGTGTTTCGCCGTCACCGGCCACGGAAGAGATATGAGTGGTTTGGGGTTGGGAGTGCTTGAGGTGAGGGGCAACCTCCCTCGCGGAGCGCGGGTAGAGTCTTGCGCTGTGGTGCGGCGAGTACAGGCGGATGTATTTGCGTCCGACGACTTGGCAGAGGATGTTGTGGTGCGGGTCGTGGTGCAGGGGGGAGATTGTCCAGGCGGGGCCGAACCAGATGTTGGTTTGGATTGGATCTGGGATCAGGTCTGGGTCTGGGTCTGGGCTGGAGGGGGTTTTATCGTCGGTTTTGTTGCCTTCGGCCTCGTGGTCTGGGCTGGGCATTTTACTCCCAGACACCGGGACGAGGGAGGGGTGGGATGACTTGGGTTTGGCAGCGCTGTGAGAAGTCTTGTCCTTGAGCCGGCTCAGGTAGACGGGCGTGCCTGGCTCTGGTGGCGGCGGATCCAGGTAGCAGTAGTCCGGGGTCGCGATGGCTTTGATGCGGTGTTGCTTTGGTCGGTTTTGTTGCCTTCGGCCTCGTGGTCTGGGCTGGGCATTTTACTCCCAGACACCGGGACGAGGGAGGGGTGGGATGACTTGGGTTTGGCAGCGCTGTGAGAAGTCTTGTCCTTGAGCCGGCTCAGGTAGACGGGCGTGCCTGGCTCTGGTGGCGGCGGATCCAGGTAGCAGTAGTCCGGGGTCGCGATGGCGGAGCGGAGCGATGGGATCTGCCGGAGAAGATCGTGTTGGGCGAGATAGCCTGTCTGTCTTCCGGTGTCCGGTGGTGGACTACCATCTGCTCCAGCGGGATCATCACCGCTGCCACGAGCGCTTCCTGCTTCAGAAGACAGAACCCCTTCAAGCTCTGCCTCTCCATTTGTATTCTCTACCGCGACCCCATCCCCGCCATCGTTAAGGATGTACTTGCCCAGAAACTCCCCAAACGGCATCATCTTCTGTCCCCAGTCGTCGTCTGTGTAGCTCCGTCCTATCTCCACCGGCACGAGTCGTCGCCCATTGAACGTTTCTTTTCTCCAGTAGGACGTCTTCTTCCACCGCTTCAGGGCGGGCCAATGGTCCATGATCCCTGTCAGGACCACGGGCTCCTTCGCGTGGTCCATATGTCTCTGGAAGTCGGTTAGAGAAGGAGTCTTGAGCCGAGGGACTGGGTGCTCGATCCTGGGCACTGCGGTGTAGTTGGCAGGAAGAAGATCGTCCTCCTCCTCCTCCTCCTCCTCCTCATCATCACCATTCTCTCCTCCACGAACCCCCTCTTCGTCCTCCCGAACA